AGGGTTTCCCACTAACCGCAGGGTGGTCAGGACACTACTCTGGGCTCCTCACAGCTCTAGTTCTCCCAGGGGCTTCCCACTAACCGCAGGGTGGTCAGGACACTACTCTGGGCTCCTCATAGCTCTAGTTCTCTGAGGGCTTCCCACTAACCGCAGGGTGGTCAGGACACTACTCTGGGCTGCCTCATAGCTCTAGTTCTCCCAGGGTTTCCCACTAACTGCAGGGTGGTCAGGACACTACTCAGGGCTGCCTCGTAGCTCTAGTTCTCTAAGGTCTTCCCACTAACCTCAGGATGGTACCTTATGGTTGTCTTAGACATTACAAATATACAAAGGTAAAGCATATACTGCCCCAAATTAATGAATTCATAATGAAAATAGTGAGTCGCGTTGCTGTGCGTGAGACAGGTTAATACTCACCTGCACCTGCTGCTTTTGTGTGTTCAGCATATTTGGGTCAATTGACAAAGGCCCGAGAACACTGACCATCAGCTCTTTTTCCACAAGCCACTGTTTTAACTGGGCCTCTATGGTCTGGAATTGGGTTAGGTTATTGGAGGACTCTTCCAGTTTTTGTTGTCTATCAACTGTTAATTGATTGAGTTCTTGCCACTTAGAATCTAAAGAAAAAGGATGAAACTGGTATTCAGTTTTTTGCATTAACATGATGATATCTATGAAGACTATATGTTATGCAAAATGATATGTAATGGCTATCATTTTATTTTTTAATAACTCTTCTTATCTGGTCAAATAAAGATCTAAACTAAGAGTAAACTGCATTTAATAATACACATTTTGTGGACCTAGTATTTGTGTGTCAACTGAAATATAAGAAAAGAAAACAAACTTGAATCTGACTTTAGAAGATATTATAGAATAGGAACCATTCCTTAAACCAAATAGGATCCTGAGATCTCCATTTCTTCTAGAAGTGCTATAGAGTCTATTTATTTAACTATAACTAACCTACTAGAATAACGAAGATTAATCCTTCACTTTAATATCAAATCTTCAATTAGCAGGTCTAGGTAAATGGCTCCCACATTTGACTATTTAGCCCCAATTATTCTTTTATTCAAATCACACATTAACAACCAGCCACTGTCAAGTTACAATCAGAAATCTTACCAACCCTTTAAACTCAACATTAAAAAATAATTCCTCTAAAAACAGGTGGATTTTTCTGACTTTAACATTTCTTTCAAAGGTTATCATCTCTCTCAAGTCACTGAGAAGCAATAATTCAGAATGTCCTATCATGAGTTTCCGAACCCTCTCATATTCTTGACCATAAAACCTTAAGTCCCTCCTTTATATCCCTTATGCTATAATTCCATTTTGGCCCTTGCCATGTGTTATTTTTTAAAAATTGGTTTAACTGTTACACAACAGAGGTCCTTATCTTTGGGGCACACGTGATAATTTAATACCATCCCTCCAGGCAATGATGAGTTAACCTCATCCTGTTTTGCCTGGATCAGTAGTTCTCCAACTTGAGCTACATAGAATCACCTGGAGGGATCATCAGCCCCCACCCACAGAGCGTGTGATTCAGTAGTTCTGGAGTGGGGTCTGAAATTTTGCACTTCTAAAAAGTTCCCCGGTGCTGCTGCTGCTGCCGGACCCAGGAGCATACTTTGAGAACTACAGACCAAGACTATCCGTCTTCTCACTCCTATCTCAGCTATCAGTGTTTCTCAGCTGCAATCTATTTGGTTCTAAAATAATTTCTAAAAAGAAAGATTACTTTTAAACAAGTCATTTCCCTGCTAAAATCCGTCAATAACTAACTCCTCACCTGATATTCAAGGCCTCCTACAATCTGGCCCTAGTCTACTAAGCTTAGAGAGTTTGTATTTTGAGATGAATCATCTCATCTAGCCCTGATCTTATTGTAATCGTACAAACAGGCTGTTGCTCACACAGGTCCCATGTCTGAGACCCTCTACCTCTTTATCACATATCCCAACCTTATCCAGCCTTCATAATTCCAATGGATCTTGCCCTCTGCCAGGAAGTCTTCCCTGCTCTCACCACCCTCAGGACAGCATGCTCCCTGTACCCAAGGGTTACTGATCAGAGAACATTTAGTCCAGCACGTGGACACATTAGTTGCTCAATAAACATTCATTGTTGGCCATGATTACTTGATGTGAGAGTTTTATTTTTCACTAGTTTAATACACGAAAGGGGTGACTTCAATAGAACACAATCCCTGAAATCTTATCTACTGACAGCATTGCATATGGCACATTCTAGTCACACACAATCTGACAACAAAATAATGCAATCAGAGCAATAAATCAGGAAGAAGAAACATCAAGGTCATCAGGAAGCTTTTCTGAAGTGCACATTCCTCATTCCTACCCCTATTCTAAAATGTCCTGAGAATACTCTTCCTACATAATTCTGATATCCTGGGGAAAGCCACTTAATTAGAGCCAATTTAATTACAAAGAGACCGGAGTCTCTGTAGTTGGATTAAATACATTTTAGAACTTTAAGATCCTCTAGAGGAACATTTTTTCAAACTGAAATATACTTCCAGATTTCTAAATTTATCACAGGGCACCTAACTCTAAAAGAAAGACAATATTTAGATAAATATAATGGGATAATGGAAAGTAAAATAATTATTATAATCATAGTTCACGTATATAGCACTTACTATATGAGCCAGGTGCTTTCATCTGAGCTATAGATAGATCAACTTAATGAGTTATCTAAATAATACTATGAGGTAGGGAAAATTATTTTACTCCTCTTTACTAATATTCCATATCATCATTATCATCATAATAATGAAAAACTTTAAGACAATGGGGCCAGTGAAGAAAATTCTGTAACTAGGAGAAACAGATTATACAGGGACAGTGTAGAAGTGGGAGGATGAGCCTAGATAAAGATTCAAAACTACCAGTCTTCAGTGAACAGCTACTTTTTAGTACAGATTGGGAGAGAGAAGAAGATAGGAAGATATGGATCTGGAGCAGTCCCAAGAGGAACTCCCTGAAGAACAAAGCCTACCTTTTCCAAATAAATGAAAAGAACATTTAAAGTAAAAGATAAGGAAACTTTAAAAAGATTAAGCATCATAAAGCTAGTAAAAAAAAAAAGTCAATAATCGTTAATGAAAACGATGGTACTCCATGCATAGCATTTTACTAATTAGTATCTACCTTCTTCAGAAAACTAAATGTAGTCACTGTGTTTACCAGGAAAAATACAAGATAAGATATAAAACCTAAGTATGGTAGCAGCGGCGTGGGACTGATTACTGATTCTTTGCTTTGGACTTTTTCACCTTCCTTCTTTAATCTTAGGTGTGAGACATGATAAAGTTGTGAAAAATGTATCTAAAAGGTAAGCCAAACTAGACAAACTGTCAAAATTGTGTTATTGGTTTACACTTATTATGAATATACAGGAAAGCCTGAATGTACTTGCATATATAATGACACCCATTATCAGCTACGTGTGCCCCCCTCAGTGGGCCAGCTGTTTGCTACAATCCTTCTGAACCCCCAGAGCAAACAAAATTTGCTGAGTGGTATACTGATATCCCTATAAAGACTCGAGTTATAACACAGTAATACCTAAACAAATAAAAAAAATTAATAACAATTTTGCAATGTATACAGACATGTGTCTTTTTATATTTTCAATAACTAGAAATCTTCCATAAAGAAACACTGTATATTTCTGAAGAATTATATTTATGTATTTCACATTTTGTGCTGTCATGTTAACTTTAATTCTCTAATTGTCAGTGGTATACAATGGATGTCTGTATACTGAACTTAAAAAAATAATAGACTAATGATAAACATTAAAAAAAACCTAAGTACATAAAACAGAAGATATATTGTATATAAACGTAAGCGATGCCAATTCTCTGCACCATATACTTTGAAGTGACACTTTTAAATACGCAAAAAGTAGGTTCTGAAACACTAAAGCAAATCCAAACCCCAGTGAGGCTGCTGGATGGTTTCGATGGATACAAGTGAAAAATGAACGAGCTTCTGTCTGTGAACTTTCGTGTACGTAACACAACATACCTATTTCTGCCAGCATCTGCTTCCACTTGGGAGCCTCAGGAGTATCTGGGTTTTCCTCCAACAGCTCTGTCAGTTTGTCTTTCAACTCCTGCACTTTGTTTACATTTTGCTTTAGTTCCGCCTCAAATGACTAACAAGGAAGAAAAAAATAACTATATTAAAGTGTGCCAACTGCAAAAGGCAGAAACACAATTATGATCGAGCATTTTTTTTTCCTCTAGCATGACCAAAAGAGGGAAAAAAATCCACTTTTAAAAGATAAAGCTGGTGAGGACCTGCATTCAGCAGCTATTTCCTTTCCTCTGCTGAGCCGGTCTTCGCTGTGTGACAGGAATCCCACAGAGAAGGCCTGTCCCTATGGAGATAATGACTCTCGTCTCCATTATTGAGGAGGACTTTCATATTTTCAAATCAACCACTTTGGATAAAAGCAAGATGACATCAGTAGGTTGCAATTAACAGAAAAGTTAGCCTTGACAAAGGCTTGCTAGTATTTCAGAATCTACTAGTGAATAAGCACGTTTTTGGACACCACGTAAAACGATCCTCCCAATCTTGCCAGCTACATGAAGAAATGTCCCTATTAAAGAAAGGGAAAGTATTAGCTGTTTTACACTAGACAGAACACATCCCTAAAACACTTAGCCTTTACATAAATATTTCCCAGTAGGTGGCTGGTTAACACATCCCAGACTTGAACTGATTCAGAGGTGACAAAGGGGCTTACACTCACGGCTTGTTCATCTTCATGATGTGGGTGCACGATAAAAGGTGGGGGGTAAATTCACACCTAGCAGGTGCAATGCGTGCTACTGGTGCACGACTGGTGATGGGCACACTTATAATAACTTTGACTTAAACTAATATTGATGAAATTATTTTTTAAAAAGGGACTCTTCACACCGATCTCTACAGAAAGACACATGAACACAACTATCAAATTTTGTGCTGAAGGTGAGAGGGCTCCGTCCGAACGCCCACTGGTTTCCTTGCACATCTTCAGGGGGAACCCACAGAATGTACCTTGTTCTGCTCAACTTGCGTCTTCACAGCTTCGGTGTCTGTAGGTGCAGGTGTCTGATGCCATTTTGTTGCCGTTTTATTCATTTTCTGCAACCACTGCATCATAGCGCTTGATTCTTCCTGAGCTTTTTCCAATTTGGAGAGTTTAGAATTCAGTTCTGCTATTTTGTCCTTGAGTAAGAGGCCAAGATCTTCATAATCATGACTTACGTCAGTCATGTCCTTCTTAATGGATGTCAACCCTAGAGAGGAAGAAAACAATTACACTGATGCACGTTCAGCTCATTTCCATTAGAGGTCTAGAAGTAATAGTTTGCCAATCTCTGTAATTTTGCCACTGTTAAGCCTACCATGATCAAGTCAGAAGCTTTTTAGAATTAAAAGTTTAGACTATTGTGTAATTCTATTTAATCATAAATAATTCAAGAACATAATACTAGCAAAATAAAAAAGGTATTTCAAATAGAATAAAACCCTCAAACCACAAAATGTTACTTACTAATTCCTCAGACACCAAACTCAATAAATTAGATAAAAATAATGTTATCTCAAGTGGCAGAACATCTCAAATTAACCAAATAAAAAAGACAATACATTGAACTAGCTTTTACTAATTTCGGATGAACAAAAATGCATGGAATGTTATAGAAATTTGATATTTAGGGAGATTTGTGACTATTAAATACCATTTCAATTCACGTTTTAAATTTCAAATATATTGTCCCCTAAGAAGATTTTCTCTTTCAAAAAAAATCACATTACATTAATCAATAACCAATGAAAATTATTATTCACCTTTATTTGCCCAAAATTCCTGAGTATTTGCAGCTGTTCCTTCACCATTTAATATTATTCCACCTGTAAAAATATTAAAACTGAAGTCACACAGATCTCCATAGTATTTCTACACATCAATAGAAAATGGCATTGCATTCAATCAAACAGTAATCACTATATACAGTAATCACTTAAAAAGTTATGACTACTTGAAAGCACAAAATACTAATTTAACTTTAAAATCAAATGAAGGCCTAAAATTTAAATATTGAACAGTATCCTTTCTTCTAAGTAAAATTTATTCTTAAGGTAGTGCTATGATCTATCATTTAATATAAAAAAAAGTAGTGACATGATCATCTTAAACACTAGCATTTCAATGTTTATGTTATACTATTATAAATTTACTATTCATAAAATTTTTGTGATAAAGCTGCTTTAATGCTAAAGTTGTCTTAATGATAAAGGTCCCAAAGCTCAGAAGGTGCTCAGTATCCAAGTATGTTGAACGAAGCACAAACGACTGATGAACCACAGAGCGTCTGCCTTCCTTAGGGGTTAAAACCTGGCTGACGCAGGGATACTGTGCTGCCATGGGCTTAACGGAGGCAGAATGGGTTTTGTTAAAGACATGAAAAGAATCTTAATGTTTAAAAACAAACAAACTGTATTCCTAAAACCACATTACATCAATACGGGGGGGGGGGCGGAGAGAGAGAGAGAACACAGGCACCCAGACCGGTTAGGAGCACCTGGGTGTTAGTGTGAGACTCACCTGAGTGTAAATTCCAGCCTTTCTAGTTATTAGCCACATACATGACTGGACCAACCAATCAACCAAACTGATGGGGATAACACCTAATGTGGGAACTAAAGACCAATCGCATAGGAACTCCTCAGCGAGCAGTAAACTAATATTTCTCTTTTATTACATTATCATCTAGCATTGGTATCTTTTCATAAACAGAGTATTGAAAAAACTCAATTAGACTTTCTCAGTGCCTCTTGGCTATCTACTCAAAACACAAAGACATCTGTCAAATCACACAAGAACAAATGGAAACAAATAGAAACATTTAGATATCTAAAACTTGTTTGTCCTTTAAAAAAAAATCACACACAATGGCATCTCACATGAAAGTGTAACTCCCCCAGAGATGCTCAAGACCAATGCCTACCATGCTTGGTAATTACCAAGAGCCCAAAACAGAACAAAACCAAACAACCCCCTGCAAAAACAAAACAAACAAACCAAAAAACCACCCAAGGAACACCGGTTGGTGCTGATATTGCAAATATAAAGGAGACATGAAGAGCTAACATAAATTAAATGAATAGAACTCCTTTTCTTAAAAAAAGAAAAAACTTGACACTTTAGGAAATCTGATTAGGGGCAGAAAGGAGAAATCATCACACCATATATAATATGGGTAGTCCCTGAAATGGGATTAATAGAGTGGAATAAATGGTGGGCTGAGAAAGGCCCAGCTGGAACATCAGTCTCACAATAGGGACAGCTGGGGAGTTGGTCCGACTAGATAAACCACGGAGGAGACTCAGAAATCTCAAATAAAGATACGAGACTGCCTTCTGTCTAGGCTCAGAGTTGGGTTTGTTTTCTTAATTTGATATTGTGTGCTTTAAACTAAAACCTATACCACAACTTAATTTTAGAATCAATATTTATACACAACTCTCCCATTTGTTGAGAAGAGAGGCTCAACCTTGACTTAGATTGTGATTTAGACATGTCGGTCCACAGGAACAGCACACAGAATGAAGAGGACAGGAATAAAACCAGAGGGTCCGCTTTGCAGGAAAAGAGCCAATTTCTTCCCTCACTTCCTTCTTTGCCAGGAGCCCAGACTCATTTCTTCATCAAATGTGATAATAAGAATAGAAATATTTCAAATAGAATTTCAATATACCCACTTCATAAAGGTAAAAAGCAAGCAAATCTGAATCTAATCTGTCCTCTACCTCCATTCCTCACTCTTACATATCAACCTGATTACATTTTAATTATGGTCTTTAATAAAAGAAAACATAAAGAGAAATTCGAAATTTGATTAGTACAGATATCTTTTCATAGCAGATTTTAATGTGTTTACAGATGCCATCTTTTTTTAATCACTTTCACTTTGTATTTTTAGGGTTATTTTATGCCTTAGTTAAAAAATAACACACACATACACAAAATTAACATGAGCGATTCTTACAGTTTTTGCCATAAATGTAAAAAAAAAAAAAAAAGCACATACCTGATTTAACTGCTGCTATTGCCTTTGTAGGGGTAGTCACAGCACTTATTAGGTTACATAGTGAGATCCCACTGTTGTTCACTTTCTGAATCTCTGGTGTTTTTAAACTCCACTTTTCTTGTAATTTCTTGAGATATATAAAAATACATTATTTTCAGTCTTCTTTATAGTTTCAAAGTGGCACGTTATAATTCGATTTCTTAAGCATATCTTAAAGTAGTAATGACTGTGGGCCCTGATTTGTGGGGGAGGTGAAGAAAAAAAGGCACCATCCCTGTTTGTCCCCACGGCCCAGGTGACTGTTAGCACTGTTAGTAGTGACAAGCGGGGGTCTGGCCCATTCTGCTCCTTGCCACAGTGGAAGTAAGGTTATTCCTGGCGGCCATGGGTTCCAAAGTAACTGTCAACTGTAAGTCTGCAAAACTGTACTAGGTCATAGCCAAGTTACAGGAGAAAATGTATTAAGAACATTAAAAATAAATGGGAATTCAGAATTCCATTTTACAGTATGTTTTAGTTATCAAAATTTTAATGAATTTTTAAAAACAGACATTTCTACAAATTTGGAGTGAAAATTTGCTATAACTTCGTAAGTGTCAAAATGTGAATCAGGTAACAAAATACTTGCGCGCTATTTATGGAGGAGATAACTTCTATCTTCCAATACTGATTATAGTGATATATACAACCTGGCATTAAATGCTAAGGAAAGAGAAAGATCTTTTACTAAATATTATGAGAAACAGTATCAAAAATAACTGAAGCTAAGTAGAGATTTAGTAGGGAAAGAAATTTAGACACTGTCACAGTCAGCAACACATTACTACATTTTTTTAAAAAGCAAATTAATTGAAAGTTTATGTCCTGCCTCAAAATCAGTTAGCCCCATGTCATGATTTCCAAAGATCATCAAGATATAGGATACATATAAGGATCTAACTTCCATTAGATACTAGATCGAGAAAACCACCACCAGTCTCTTAACCTTTCATTACGGACACAGTCAAATGAAAACTTAATATTAAATAGAATGATTCACCTTGGTTTCTTCCAAAGATTTTCCTAAATCCTCTGCACCAAAAGAAGGCTGCACAATGGGAACTTTTTCTGTTGTTTCTTTTATCCATGACTTCAGTGATTTAACAAGGACTTGGAAAGCATCCAATTGTTCTTGACAAGAAGTTACAGCTTCTTTTCTAGATAACAGAAGTCATAAAACTTTAAGCCACAGAAAGATGGTACGCCGAAGGACTAATTACTAATAAATTAATTCTTGTTCCCACATCAGGCTTAATATTTTTTTTAAAAAATCTTCCATGTGCAACCTAATCCTTTAATACAGGAGAAAATGTTTCATAGGTGGTAAGTGAAATCAGCTATATCTCTGCTCCTCCAGGCAAGATTCACAGATAAAGTTAGCAGCAGTCAAGAAATCTGTAACCCATATGTAATGGCACTCTATAATGCTACATAAACTCTAAGGCTACATAAACAGTTTTAACATTATTTAGATTCGGTGAGCTTTGATCTGTCCACTTGATGGGATGCTTAATGCCAGCAGGCACAGAACCAGAAGGGAAACATTCACAAATCACCGACTTGAGGAAAACGTAACGCCACCTAGTGTCTTCTACACTACACTACAGTCATGTTAATGGACTTGATAAACTCAGCGTTTCAGGGAGTACAGATTTAAGTCTCCTAAAACGAGATGTAACCTAATAACTGGAGAGTTGTGATGGACACCTCCCCCAAGGAGGTTCAGGAACCTCCACAAGGAACCATGTGGATCTCTGTGTGTGCTGAGCGCCATGGAGGGAACATCCACACTCAGCACACGAACTGTGAGGACCGTCACATTTGGCACATGGATGACAAGTGTGCACAACAGCAAATGAGAATACACCACGGTGGGACTGATGACTGATGACCACGTGGTTCTAAAGTTGGACCCATTTGAAAGAAAAAGCCCAGAGATTATCTAAGGAAACCAAAAACATTTCTTCTGTGCAATGTGAATTAAATATCACAGTATGTGATGGAAAACACAGCTTCATGAGAAGTACAGACTGGACTCAAAAGTTTTACGTAGAGAATTCTGAAGAAATAAAGAAGACTAGTTGAAAGAGAAATGAATATTTTCTATCTTTGGGGACATCTTTTATATGAACTTTAGGAAAAGCTGCTGTATAAAGAAAGCCACACGAGATAAGAAATACCCAAGTTGGGGGTCAGGTCCTGGGGTGTGCCACACCTTTTGGGGCAAGACACGATTGTAAGAGGGTCTTTACCTAACAGATGCAATCAGTGTGACTTGGTTTCTTGTACCCTCAATGAACCCCCACCAATAAAAAAGAAAGAAAAATACACAAGTTAAGTCACAAGGTCCTGCATAGGTTTTTAGCTCAACTTAGGTTCATTCTCTTGTTTCGTATTTTTTCATGGACTCATGCCTCATGTGCTGCTCCTTGAAAAGTAAACTATTATGTATAAAAGGCCACAGTGAAATTGCACACAGATTATGAATTGAGCTCAGAAAGTAAAGAATCTTCAAGGTTATTTCTGCCTTTGCAAATAAAAATGTGATATTTACCAATGGCTTCAGATGTGGCAAGTTTAGATCATTTTTAGTAAGAAATATCACTACCATTTTTCTTATATAATGCTTTCCACTTTTACGTAAGAAGTACTGAATTTTCTTCTTAAATATCTTTTTAAAGTAATATACTTAATTAAAATAGCAAAATGTTTATTAAAAAATACTTATAAAGTAGCCTTTTACTTAATCTCAAGTTTTAAAAATAGTTTCAGTTATCTATAAGTAAAAAAAAAAAAAAGTAACTGATTCTAATTACAATGCTATCAAATAGAATAAAATATAATTTTTTAAGTGGTGCTTACTTTTCTTTGATGGTATCCTCCATTTCTTTGAATTTCTTTGACAAATTATTTGTTTTTTCAAAAACCAGAGCCTTATCACCTGGTAAGCCATGGCTGGATATCTCCTTCAGGAGACTATGCAAAACTTCAAGGTCCTTCTTATGGTCTAAGAATTCAGAAGTTGATTCCTAAAAAGCGTTTAAATACTTAGTCAACACAGATATTGCTAGGTGCTCGATGGATGTTCCATCCAGATACATGTGGGATCAGAATAACTCTATTCAGAATGTCACAGAGGAATAAGTCTGCCTACGATCAGTAATCTAAATATAACAAAACGCAGGAAGGCTATTTCAAAGAAAATGCAGTAAACTTTAATTTAAAATGCATTCTATATTTGTCTCTGTGGGTTACGGCATATAAGATAATACTTCTATTATCTGTGACATGTATGAAAAGTGGTATTTATTTCTAATCACTGAGCAAAGTTCTTCGAGGAGAAGATGGGGTTTTGAGATTTTTAAGGGGGGAAAATAGATCTTTTTTAATCCATAAGCAATTAAAATGACAATTGCTGATTGTAAATCTGCCAATAGGCATATTAGTGAGTCTTGACTCCCTACTTGACTGGCCTCATGCGTACTTAGGAAGACATACCTGCATACACTGAGACAATTCAGTGACATCTTTTCCTGGCACATCTACTTCAGTGAGAGCCTGAGTTTTCGTTTCCAGAAACGTCTGCAGCTTTTCTGAGAGGCTCTCGAACAGTTCTACTTTGGTTTTGAGCTCCTCCATTTTGGTAAGCTTCTCTTTGTGTTTACGGCTTGCTTCTGAAAACCGAACAGACAAGTCCTTCATCTTGGCCTGCAGTGAGGATGCAGTCGAGGGGTCTGTGGTTTCCATAAACTTCTTCACTTTTTCATTCATGGCATTGACACTGCTCTGCCGCCCTGCAATGTCCTGTTCCAACATCTGAAACATACCCAATATTGCATCTGTTTTATAATGATGTTTGCAAATAATGTGACAGAATTTTTTTCAACGACTACTCATCACAACATGAGCTTGAACAACCTGTGACTAAGAGGGTTAACGGTTGGAACTGAATGACAAGTTTGAGCTGTCCCTGGAGGAATCCCATCCCGAATCTCTTCCAGGGAGAGAGGATTGCAGCTGGCTGTAGTTGCCTGACTGAGGCAGGAGCCGCTGCTACTCAGCAACCCCCGAGATCTAATGGAGCCTGGGGATTAGCCATGGTCCTAATTTTTAAAAGGCCAGACAACAACGTGATTGATCTGATTAGCCTCATGTGCAGCTGGCTGAAGCAATGATAAACAAGACTCAATGAATGTATGAGCCCTCTATAATGAATAATATTCCAGGAAAAGTACACAGAGCCCTTTCCATTCTTTTTTACAGAAAAACAATTTTGCCCACTTGATTTTTCGCAAGCATTACTTCCCAGACTCTTATATTCAGGAAATATCATTTTCTCTTTTTTGTATCCTTAAATTTATCTTAAATCGACTCATTTTTTTGAGCTTATAAAACTTTCTTTTTCAATTTTTTTTTTCTTTTTAAAAAGTCACTTACAATGTTTTTGCTAATGATATCCTGAAGAGCAGCAGAGTTTAAGGGCACTTGGCCTTGTTCTTTTAGAGAATTTTCCACACTTCCCATCCAGTCCAGCATTTCATCCAAGCCATCCTGCACGCTCAGTGAACGGGTCAGGGTTATCTGCAGCTTTTCATTTCGTTCATTAACAGACTTGGACAGATCGTCGTATCTCCCGACAATGTCATCTAATCCAAACAGATCAGGAAGTATTAACTACGAAGTTCTATTTGCCCGACGTCTTTTCAAAAATACACCAAGGTGAATTATAAGATTTTTAAAGGAGAAAAGTTTAAGTGAAAAATTCATAATGCATAATGGTCAGAATACCACCTAAAACCTTAAAAAGAAAAGAAACAAAAGTGCCTGGTAGAAAATGAAAAATTGAAATTTTAAAACAAGTTATTATGTATATCATGTGCATTCAAAACCAGATTTTTTTGGATACACAAACATCTGAATTATCCTAGAGAGATGAAAGAATAGTCCAAACAGCAGACCTTTGGAATAAATACTGGCTCTCAACCTGACATTTCAAATTAGCTATACTTATTGGTAACTGCTTGGAGGAAAAAAAGAGGATGGTCAAAATACCACTATCCTCAACAGACAATACACCATTCTTGTCATTTCTCATAGCTTAACCAAAATACTCAAATACACAGAAACTGCTGATACAAATGAATTGAGAAAATAGACAACAATGAAAGTCCACTTAAAGAAAGTTGAGATTATGCTTCTAAAATATACAAAAATTTAATTTACTTAAAAGTTTAATAGCAGGAAAAAAGGGAAAAATAAACTTAACCGGCTAACCACCTATCTCATATGAGATAAAGATGATTTAAAAAAAAAAAAAAAAAACCCTTTCTGGGTTAGTTTTCACTTGACTATATTTTAACATCCTACATTCTGTATTGCAGACCAGTGAGAAGTTTAACAAGCTATGGTTTTTAATGTATTCATCTCTCTCTGAAATGCAATCTGTTTTTAAGCTTGAATTTACTTTATCACACATTGTCCAGGAATTTGGAAAGCATTTTACTAATATCTGAATGCTTTAGCCTGATACATTGTAGACTGCTTCAGTAGAAGAAAGTTGTGACTTGAAACATTTCTATAAAACCAAATATCTTACATGCTGTGTTTGGCCTGTGATATGTAATCCACAACCACACAGTATTTCTTTTAGATCGTTTTAATGATACATCATGAGAAAACAGCTGGTCAAATCTTCACTGAATGGAGAGGTTAAGTTTAGATGATTTAAAGAGATAATCTTGCTCCTCTTACTAAAACACAATGAAACCCACAAGAATGCTGAGTGGGGAGGAAGTTAGCATTGAACATGTACCAAGATGCTATAGGCAGGGCGGTGCCTGTGGCTCAAAGGAGTAGGGCGCCGGCCCCATACATTGGAGGTGGCAGGTTCAAACCCAGCCCCGGCCAAAAACTGAAAAAAAGAAAAAAAAAGATGCTATAGTGCTATAGGTAGAAGAAATAAGCACTGGATTCAAATATAAGCCTTAATTTGAAAGCCACAAAAGCAGCTGCTCTGAACTGCAGCTTGAGATTGGCAGGTTAGCTGCCTGTCAACTGGGCAACTCTGGAAGTAACATCAGTGATCTGTTTAGCCGTGGTCAGTCATAGCCCAAGGAAAGTCCACTATTTTCATATATAGTAGAACCTCTGCAAGTTGACCATCCAAGGGACTGTAACAAACTGTTCAACACATGGAACTAGGCCTCTGGTGTTGATACACGCATGTCAGGTCTATGAAAATTAGGTCAACTTAAGGAGGCAGTCATTATAGGGAGGTCGTTAACTACAGAGATTACATTGTAAGGCACACACTTCAGTGTTACTGTTTGCTATGGGCTGAATGTTTTTATCCTCCCAAATTCATATATTGAGGTATACTGAAGCCTAATCCCTAGTGTGATGGCATTTGGAGGTGGGGCCTTTGGAAGGTGTGATATTGTGATATAATAAGAAATATCTGGTCTCTGACCAGGGTTCCCCTCTAAGAGCCCCTAGTACACTTATGGTTTCCTCAGAACACGGGCCCTGGGAGGATCTTCTGTTCTGATATTTGGTCTTTGATCCCAGTTCCTGACACAGAGCTCCTAAATCTCTTGAATTTCCTGGATGACAGGAGCATTTTTTGTTCTAAACAGGTAATGAATATTAGTGGAGCCCTACACAGCCTCAGGATGGGGACAGGTTGCCAGGGGAACCCACCATGGGGTCAAGGGTTGCAACTTACAGTCTCATTCCCTTACCTCCAGGGGAGGCAGAGGGTCTGAGGGTTGAGTGGATATCAGTGGTCATGATACAACTGATCGTGCCTATGTAATGAAGCCTCTGTACAATCCTAGGACTAGGCTCGGGGAACTTCCAGGTAGCTGAATGGAAGGTTCTTGGAGGGTGGTGGATCGGAGAGGGCATGGAAACTCTGCTCCCCTTCCCTCATACCTCATTCTAAGCATCTCTTCCATCTGGCTAGTTATCTGTATCCTTTGCGATATCCTTTATAATAAATGTGCAAATGTAAGTAAAGTGTTTCCCTAAGTTCTGTGAGCTACTTTAGCAAATTAATCAAACCCAAAGAGGGTTATAGGAACCCTGATTTATAGCTCATTAGTCTGAAGTGTAGCTCACAACCTAGGATTTGGATTGGCCCCTGGAATGGGGACAGTCTTGTGAGGCTGAGCCCTTAACTTTTAAGGTCTGATGCTAACTCTCAGCAGAGAGTATCAGAACTGAACTGAACTGCAGCACACCCGTCTAGTAACCACTAGAGAATTGCGTGGAGCATGGGGAAGACAGGCCGCACATCTGCTCCCAGAAGGGATCTTTGTTGTTGGGGAGGGCGCGAGAGAATAGGAAAAATACACGCTTTTCCCATCTCTCAGAGGCCGTAATGAGGTCATGAGGGTGGAGCCCCTGTGAAGGGGATTAGTGTCCTCATAAGAAGAGACATGAAAGAGATGATCTCCGTCTACCGCTCTCAACCATGTGGGGACACAGCAAGAAAGCAGCGATGTGTATGCCAGGAGGAGGCCCCCACTAGGGAACACACTGGCACCCGATATCAGCCTTCCAGCACCCAAAACTCTGAGAGATGAATGTTTGTTGTTTAAGCCTTATAATCTGTGGTATTTTTGTTACAGCAGCCTGCACAAAGACACTGCTTATTCTGTACCTCTTGCTGATGAAATATTGTTATTGGAGTAAATTCTTGTTTTTAGTAACTAAAAAGTATTTTCTAAAATGGTACAAAAAGAACCTACTGTAAGGATGTTATTGTTTCAAAGTCACTGGTTTTCTTAGAAGTCAGATATATCTTTTTTTTTTTTTTATTGAATGGTAACTGTGTACATTGATGCACTTTGGGGGTACAGTGTGGTGTTTTCATACACAATCCAAGACACTTCCATCAAACTGGTTGACATAGCCTTCACGTAACTTTCTTAGTTATTATGTCAAAACATTCATATTCTACTCATAGAAAGATTCACTTGTACCCTTGCAAGATGAACCACAGAAGTGAACCCTCGAATCCCTCTCCCTCCACCCTCTCCCCCCTCCCTCCACCCTCCCCATATCCTTAGGCTGTTATTAGGTTATAGCTTTCATATAAAAAGGTTTAAATTAATTTCATAATAGGTGTGTGTACATTGGATTCTTTTTCTTCTATTCCTGTGATACTTTGCTAAGAAGAACATTTTCCAGCTCCATCCATGTGAACATGAAGGAGAAGTCAGATATATCTTAAAGAAACTCTATATCTTAAATACAGTTTCACATATTTCTAGAAAATTATGCCAGAGAGGTTTCAATGTCTTAAAATAATGTGACATTAAACAATGTGAAATTTATGCATCCTTAACAATGGAGAAATGTCAAAATGCTTCTTCAAATAACAGAAATACAAATAAGATAGTCTGTCTTTGTCTTTTAAATCCCTATACCCAAGTAAGTTCTTATAATATTGGCTTCCAGTGTAGATATACAAGATGATGCAATGGGATGAAGGACCAAATATTAGAAATGTGTTCATGTTTTCATCTTAGATTTTAAAATTCTGTATTTTTGTATTTTATAATTACAGTACACATAATAACGTAGTACTCTGTATATACAATTATATGTACAGATAATTTATACGCATGTGTAATACACATGCCTACTTGAAGGTGTGTTTCCCTTCTCCAGCACGGTTTTAGAAAAGCAAAGTTCCGTCCTTCTCTTCATATAAAATTTCTACCCGGATTTTAATTCATACTGTTTGGGGTGAAACATATGTCTCATCATCTGCTGTGGAAGGTTTTTATTTCACACATTCACACATGGAAATATATAATAGCCTCCACTCACACATTAAATATTATGAAAAGCAGCAAACTAAAAACAAAAAATACATACAATGAGAGTAAAAAACACTTATTGATACTCTATTGTACATTTAGCATAAACTAAATACTATGAGTAGATAAAAAATAATATACAGTTCTCTCAAGAAACGCGTTCATCTAATGCAAGAGGGTATAAAAGTCCCACGGTAACTACTTACAAGTTTCTAGCATTCCTAAAGAATTGGGGTCACTAGAACCCCCATGTTGAGTAAGGCCACTCAAAAACTTCTTCCAGAACACAGACAAGTAGCAACACTGCTTTAAAGCACGGCTCTCAACTCCTGAAACCTGTGCCCCACTACTGATAAAGACCCTCAGAGAGTCTATTTTCAGCCTACGGCGAAAGTCGATCTCTGCCCAATCCCATCAACCCAGAGAATTCTGCAGAGTTCTACTTCTTGTGGTGGGCGTTACATAATGGGTTTCTGTTACATTTTATAAATATAAAATGAAAATGAAAATAAATTCATTTCAAGCTGCATAGCTCCCCCTCCTAATATTCTGATACTTGCCAAAGAAGGCAGGCCTCTTCCCAGACTCACCAACACCATTTCACAAAGAAAGACCGTGCATAATAAACTCTATAGTAGTGAACACTTTCTCCCCATCCTTCAGAACAGCTTTATGTAGAATTCACCTGTGAGACAGGAGGCGGGGAAGTGAACATCTTACCAAGTGTTTTCTGAATATCATTCTTGGCTGGAAGAAGAGAACCCCGGGCATCTAAAAGCACTTCAGCCGTTTTCTTCAGTTTCTCGACAGCAACCTGCTGACTTGATATTTGCCCTTGCAGAGCCTGTGGGATTAAATGCTTTTCAGTTATACTCAGAAGGACTGAAAAATAGATTTCTAATATGGAAGAAATTATTTCTAAGATGAAGTTAAACTGAAAGGGGCAAACTTTTCATCATATAACCTTTTACCATCCTAAACTTACTACAAAGTTCTTAAAATAAGGCCAGTTATAAAGCAGTATTAGCAAAGCATCATAGAGGCTGGATAAGACATGTACAAAGTCAGGCTTGAAATAAACCCCTTCGGCATAGGTTCAGAATAATTTGTCTGGTTCTTAATCTTGTAACTCTGTAATTTTAGCCTGAGCTATGCTTCGATCTATGGTTCTAGACTTGGTACAACACCCCAACTGTCACCCCCTCCCCCAAAAAAAGGAAAGAAGGGAGGGAGGGAGGGAAAAGGAAAAAAATAGGACAAAAAAACCCTCCAATTAAGGAGATAATTAATGACATCCCTATCAGTAGATCCTGATTCAATACTGAGTCATATTTATTTCTATTAATTCCATAAAAGTTGCCATCTTACTCCAATTATAATCTCCATTATTAAGAAGTCAAAAAGCAATAGATGTTGGCAAGGATGGGGTGAAAAGGGAACACTGACATACTGTGAATTAATATATCTAATTGGTACAACTTCTATGGAGAGCAGTATGGAAATTCCTTAAGAAACTAAAAGTAGATCTAGCATTTGATCCAGCAATCATACTACTGGGTTATCTACTCATAGGAAAAGAAATCATTATATCAAAAAGATACCTATACTCACATGTTCATAACAGCACAATTCACAATTGCAAAGATATGGCATTGACCTAAGTGCTCATCAACTATTGAGTGGATAAAGAAAATATGAGATATATATGTGTGTGTGTATATATATACACACACCTATAATGGAATCTTATTCAGTGATTAGAAAGAATGAAATAATGACTTTTGCAGCAACTTGGATGGAACTGGGGCCAGTATCCTAAGTGAAGTCACTCAGGAACAGAAAAATGCCGTGTGTTCTCCCTTATAAATTGGAGCTTACCTACAGCTACGCAAGGACGCAGAAGGGACAGTGGAGACCACAAGGGGGGGGAGGTGGGGGGAGGGATGAGGGATAAAAAAATGACCCTACTTCAGAAGCCCAGACTCCACCACTATAAAGATAAACATGGAACAGAATTCAACTTGTACCTCCCAAATGTCTTAAAATAAAACAAACAAAAAATAAAAGTTACTAAACATTTAAAATATACAAAAAGCCTCGCTACGTTTGTGAAAATACAAAAATAAAAACAGACAAAAAAGCTAACTCACAGGATAAGTCTAAGGCTGATAGGTGCCAAAGGTGAGTAAAAATGTGACTAGAAGTGGAGAGGAAGAAAACCCGGGGAGGGGACTAAGGGGCACCTCAGTGGGGATGGCACTGGGATGGGTCCTCAAGAAGGCGGGAGAGCATTTCCCTGCAGAAAGAAGACGACACGGAGATGGGGACAGAAGAATCACAGGAGAAAGGGAAGAGCCCTGTCCAGTTTGAAAATATGTATGGGTAAAAAACCAGATAGAGCTGGAAAGGCCTCCAACGTCAGGCTAAGGAGTTTACATTTGATGGGCAGCAATGGGGGAGTTAGTTATTCAAGGCTTTTGAGAAAGGCGTTGACCTGCTCAGGGCTGTCTTATAGCAGGATTAAATTCATAGCACTGCATGGGGAAAATTCAACAGGGAAGATATAAAGAGGAGTTCCTGTTGGGGGCAGCTTCGGCAGTAACAAAACAATGAGGACCACGGGGCCTGAGGACTCCTCCACTCAGCCATCTGGGAAATGAAAGTCGAATTAGTTACAGGGTTAGGAAGAGACCAAAGGAGTTGGTAAAAAGTTACCAAAGCTGCCTGATATGGTAACAACTACACAGGCTTTTCAAATTTAAATTTGTTTAAATTAAATAAAATAAAAAATACAATCCCTCGGTGGCACTGGCCACATTTGAAGTGCTAAGCTGCCAGGTGGCTACCACACTGCACAGAGCAATTACAGAGCATTCCCATAGCATTCACCTTAGAGCAGTCTGCTAGATAACACAGCTTCAGGGGTGGGAACAGAGGACAAAGGAAGAGAAGGATCGAAAGATTCTGAGCGAGGTAATCAGCAGAATTTGAAAACAAAAGTGAGAAAAAACAAGCAAAGCTGGGAACTCAAGGACTCTGAACACAGCTAGATGTGGAGGTCAAGATATTTGATGAGGGCTCAGCGCCCGTAGCCCAGCCTGGGCCTGCTAAACAACAATGTCAACTGAAACATAGCTGGGCGTTGTGCTGGGCACCTGTAGTCCCAGCTACTCGGGAGGCTGACGCAAGAAAATTGCTTAAGCCCAGGAGTTTGAGGTTGCTGTGAGCTGTGACGACGCCATGGCACTCTACCCAGGGCGACATAGTGAGACTCTGTCTCACAAAAAAACAAAGATATAATGAGGCTGCTAAATGAAAAAGCACAGGACACCAGGGAAGGAGATTATAAAGAACCACGAAGAGTATTTATATTTCAGTAATGGGGAGAGGAGAGAGAGAGAGAGCACAGGTGATCAGGGAGGTGGAAATGGGTCCAGGATAATTCTGTCCCCAAAACTAAAGGAAGAGAGAAAGGGGAAAAGGTTAACTGTCAACTGCTTCAGAAAGGATCACGTAAACCAAGACTAAGGAATCCTTGAGTTTACTGAAGAGAGTCCCTGCCAACCTCTGAGCAAGCAGATAAGTCCCAATGAGAAGAAGGAGGAGAAAAAGTTAGAAGCAGGAACCACAGGTAAGTCTTCAGAAGTATGGCCCTGCATTCTTCCCGTGCTTGGCAGAGCTCTCTGCCCAAGTGGGCTGTCTGGCCACACAGGCCCTACGCGTGTCCTTGATCTCACGATCGCACAGGAGGTACTAGCTCCTCTTCCACTCTCACATTCAGACTTCCCAGTCCCATATGTTCAGCTGCACATGAACTCATCCCTGGACACGGGCCCAGGTTTCTAGGTGCCTCTTAAATGTTTCCATCTGGGTGTTTCTAACAGTCACCTCAAACTCAAAAAAAGCTAAATCTATAATCATCTTCTCATTCTCAAAAGCTGTACTTCCTCCTGGGGTCAAATCTAATCACCCAACTAGTAGACCTGAGACTCCTCCTAGATACCAGCCTCTCTAAGGCTTTTTTTCCACCTGCAAATTCCACCATCAAGCCATGATAATTTTAACTACTTAATATTTTTTAAAAGCTAACATTTGCTTCGATCAAAATTTCTGGATCACTGTAGGATAATCTCTCACTTGGATTAAAGACTCCTACTGTGCTCCTGTCTCCAACCATTTCCCTGCTATGGGTCCCAGCATGCCTCATCAAAAATACATATCTGACTGTATACCACTTCACTATTTGAAACCTTGCAGTAGCTTTCGTAACAAAGCCCAAGACTTGAGCATGTAATAAAAGGTCCAGTCAATAAAAGGTCCAGTCTATTCCCTAATTCTATTTTTACTCTCATCTTTTTTCTACTTTCTCTTCCAGAAATGTCCAACAACACAGCTACTTCTCAGCTATTTACTATAGTGGGACCCAATGCCTTCACATCACTACGTATCAAGCTTTTAATGCAACCTCACCTCTATCATAGAACCAGGTTCTTTATCGCCCTTTAATACTCAGCTGGGAAACCCTCTGTAACTCTCCTCCTCACTCTGAGTTTCATTACTTACTCCTCGTGCTCCAGGAGGTCCCCAGATACCCTGTGACGAGTATTGGATTTATTTGTCTTTCCCATCAAACGATCACCATCTTGAGAACTAAGGAATTCCTCCTTTTCAGCTTTCAATGATCAGTGCCTAGAGCACTCCAATAAACTTTTCTGGATAAATGAGTGAATAAGTAGGTAAGTGTAAGACCTCAACAGGGCTTCTTCTACTTCAGTATCGCTTATTGTTATTTTTTCAAATAAATGCCTAAAGCTAATGGTAAAAATTTCCTCAACTAATCATAACCCAGGAAACAGTGGTGACATGCAGGTGGCCCCAGCATATGTGGAAAGGCCCCCAGCTATGGCCAACACACTGTGTGAGTCCTGCAGTTCCTCCAGCTTTGTCAAGGTACCAGAGGAGCCTCCTCAGAGTGGGTCTGTTCAGGACGTTCTCCTAGAGATTTAGTCACAGAAAGTCTAACAAATCCCTTAAGACATGAACACCTGAAGTTTAGGCTATAGGGACAGTTCATCCATATCACAAGGTTATGTAGGAGGTGAGATAAAGTTAAGGGCACCCCTTAGAATATGACCTTAGAATGTGAGTTGACTAAGGGCAAAGTCAGGGTATTTACATCTCTGTATTGCCACAAAAGCCAGCGCACAAATGTTTATGAATATACATGCATATATATACACCTATGTGAAAAAATATGTGTAATCTATCATGGTTCTATAAAAATGTCCAATAAAGATGGCCCTGCCTATCATCCTGAACCTTAGAAATGGGTTATAAAAAAAGACAGCTCCTCTTCACTTCTTTTCAAAGCAACCCATGCCTTTACTTTTGATGATCACATTCAAGAGAGTTCATAGTTTTAATTCCTAACATGTATCCAGTTATAACTTAATGACAATTGTGGTTTATAGTGCCACTTTGAAACGAAACTTAAATTCTAAGTATTCGCATAGGTATCTTATATTGTTTTGAATGGATTTCCTTGAAATTAAAACAGGAAAGAAGCATTTGTGATAGGAAATACTGCGAGATTTATGACCTTCCTCCCCTTGCCTGGACCAGAAAAACGCGAGGTCCATAAAGCTAAGGGCATTTGTCTCCTGACTTAACAGCACCCCAGAGACTAGTGCGAGCTGGAAGGAGACCCTCTCAGTCAACATACTCTGAGTCTAGAGGGCTGGTTCCCAACCTGGCCTCTAGACTCGTCCCAGAATCCTGTTTTCAGTGCCTCTTATGTGTGTAAAATCTTATTTTAGCCACTGATTTCCCTGGAAGGGGCGCTTGAGGAATGTTATAATAGCCCAGTGGTATCAGACTAGTGACAATAATATTAACAGTTCCTTGAATAATAATGTTAATAACAAGACACTATTGGAAAGAATTATTTCAAATAAAGTAACTGGCTGTCCCAAAATTACACATATTATACAATAGAATTTAAGTAGAAGATATAGTGTGTTAAATGTGGAAAAGACTGATTTTTATAGTAGTGTTACGTGTTTGTTATTGTTAAAAGTAATTGTAAAATGTTGTTAATAAAAATGAAAAAGTAGAGACAACTTAATCCTCATAAAAATTTATCCTTGACATGTCTTGAGATATTATGCAGCAAAAGTTTATACATGTGCCAGGAACAACTTTAACTATGCAAGTAATTTTTTAAATTATTCTGTGGCTTAATTGGAATTTATTTTCTTCTGAGACATTGCTCTCATTTTTATATTCTTTAACTGCCTTAGGACTAGAGGAGTCCTTTTCTACAGCACTTACCAAATACATTCTTCTACTTTAAAATTAATACATGCATCTATTTAATTAAAAATTCACATCATTTTAGCATTCATTTGGGTATTCTTTCTTTTTCTTTGCTCTAATTATATAAAAATCATTTTATAGAGGATATAATCAGTTTCCTAATATAGATCTAACTTTAAATCTATTTCTATTTTATATATTTCCCATATTAAAATAGCAAATTTGCTAATTAAATGTAATACAGGCAATCTTAATCATTTTAAACTAGTGGTAATTCCTACCAAAATAATGGCGTTAATGTACATATCTCTGCCCCCACCACAGACAGTGTCCTTGAACATATAATTAAACGGGAACTGAAAACTTAATTAGAGCAGATCTGTTTCTGTGCTTGTGGAAAAAAGGAAGGAAAATAAATACAAAGACAAAAATCCAGGACTGAAAACGCACATGTGAAGGCAGCAGGCCTTTGTGTTGTGTGGGTGTCTGGGAAGGCTGCATCAATCTGGGGATGCTGATCTGCCCAGGGAACTCCCCGGTGTCCACTGAGGGACTGCATAACATAAAGAGGATAGAGGTGTCCTCTTCACCTCCGTGTCCTCCCTTCCTCCTTTCATCCTGCTTCCACCCCCTTTCCAGGCCCTCTGCTGAGCCTTAACCAGCCACATTTCACCCCAGGTAAGACTTAGTGTTCTTCCAGCCACAAGTCACTGGTCTCAGCCCATGCCTGACTTCAGGCTTGCCCAATAAGCTTATTAACACGGCAAAGAAGATTTTGACTCTTTAACTAACATGCGATTAACTAACTGCCTTCTGAAAGGCAGTTGTTTAGTTAGCAAGACTGTGTTTAATTTTTAGGGATGGCAGCAATAAGCTACTATTACCCATTGCTAAAAGGAATCACAGAATAAATTTATAAAATGAAACAATGAAATTTTTAAACTGCAAAATAATTGGTCGTACTAAATAAGAATAAACTATTTTAAACTCTCTTCCCCTTTACCTTAAATATGTTTTAAATTTAAAAAATAAATTGAGAGATTTTCTATGCCACCGTAAGCATGAAAGAAACTCCCCTGATGATGTAATTCTGACATTAAATCTGTATTTCTGAAAGAGAAGACAGGCTTTCTGAGAACTATGCTGGGTAATAATTGAACTTTGTGTCTCTATGAATTACGAGGACACTCAACATGAAGTCTACTCCTGGTCCTTAGAACTCCCAAATATGACAGTGACATCCCTTCATCCCTTCCACCTGTCCATTCTTGAACAAATACTGAGTTCCTACTTTGTGCCAGGTAATGTTCTGGGTGATGTGAAAACAGCAGTGAAAAAACCAGACACAAACGTCTGCCCTCAAGGAGCGTAATTTTAATGGAGGAGAAAAACAATGTGAAAGATAAATAAATATAAAGATGAATAAGTGGCCTGGAAACTATTGGGAGGGGGGATAGTAGAATGCGGGTGACAAACCCTCACAGCAATGTCAAACTGGTTAAATGACGGGGGAGGGGGGGCTGAGGGTGGGAAAGAATTGACAGTAGAGAAATAGTCACAACTTCCCCTGGAGGGAGAAGTTTACTTCCACATTGTTCTTCCCCTACCTTAAGTGAAACTTTCACAAAATTATGGGAAACTGTAATCCCTTCAGTGAGACTATTGAAAGGCTGGATCTCTCTCTCTCTTTCTCTCTCCTTACCTTGGCCTCCTCCAACTGTCTTTGCAGATTTTTGGGGTCTACAGCAATAGGTTCAGATAAGTGTTTGCTTGCTGTGGCCTCACAGGCCTGGAGGCCGGAAATGAGCCCGCATGAAGCATCTTCATAGTGTTGGTATTTATCCACCAGATCTTTAAGGTTATTTCCAAGAACATTGCACTAAAAATTAAAAGAGAAAAAGGGGTAGGAGATTAAAACCCATTATTTCCATTTGCATCAAACAATTTTACAGCCTGTGAACTATCTAACTTGGAAAAAAAGCAGACTTCAACCAAAGTTGACGAAATCTCTTGTAAGGGGCCAAGATTTTCTTCTTTACGTGAAGAAATGTTCTCTAAGAAGCCAAAAGAGTAACCTTAAAAATAAGGAGAGAGTTCTAGATTTTACCAACTCAAAACTCAAAAACGTATTTACAAGGGCTAATTCTTAACCCAGAATGAAGGCTATAAGTATCAATCATCATAGGAAGCAGATGTGCCACGCCCACTGCCAGTGGGCTTTATACAACCTGTGAATAGATATGCATTGGATGGATGGTTTTAAGGGTGCTTAAATTATTATTACTTTTTATTTTGGCCAGGGCTGGCGCCCAACTCCTTGAGCCACAGGTACCACCCAGTGCTTAGTCAATTTTTTCTACATATTGCACAAGATTAACACAAGGAAGGCAGTCTATTTGAATGAAGTAATGCCAAGAGGCAACAATGGTCTTCAAATCTTTCTGCTACTTGGTAAGTTTATAATGCAAACAGGGGGACATATTCTTAGATTTTCTTTTTAAACAGAGCCTTTTTACTTGTCATCCACAGCAGTTAAAAGAAGAAAAACAGTCTGTTAGTCATTAAGTATTAAAATAATGATACTGATCAAATATCTGTAAAAGAAGTGCTTGTAGCAGTTGTGAAGAGAACAGTCTGAGACAAAACTTCGGTTCCCAAGCTTGAGAGGCTGCAAACTATTTCTGCTTCGTTGGTACACAGATGCCATCTGGTGGTCAGACTGGATATGAACATGTTCTAGAGCTACGGTTTTCTGAAAACCACTCTCTCAAAACTGAGTCAATAAAATACCTTTACGCTTCTAATCTTAAAGCACAGTTTTCAGAAGTCAACAAAGACAAATAAAACCAAGGGAGGTGTCAGAAAACTACCTTTTCCCCCTGCTTCTGTTTTAGATTTTTGCTTCTAATACCAAAAGAGAACTGGAAGAGGACAGAGTGAAGATGATAATCTCAGATTGCTCTCTCCTGTAAAAAATAAAATTACCTTAGAGTAGAGAGACCTGAAGCGGTCCGTAGCGTGATCCAGCTTGCTCTGAACTTCTCGGTGGGTCGCAGAGGTGTCGATATCAGCCTTGCTGCCATCTCTCTTGCCGCACGATTTGGCAGCTTCTAACACTCGGTTTCCAGAAATTGTGATGTACCTCAGGTCACCTTTGTGAGAAATGACATCTTCCGAGAAACTCCTCTGCCTCTTCAGCTTGGTCATTAAGCCGCTGAAGTCATCCGCGCCTGCCTCCAGGTTTTCAAGCTCCTGCTCTGACTGCTGCAGCCAGTGCTCAAACTCGGCGTAGTCAGCGTCAAACTTCTCTAATTCTTCCTGCAGGGAGTGCGTGAGCTTCACCTGCTTCTCGGACTCGGCCAGGGCCGTCTCATAATGAGCCTTCAGTTCTTTCATGTTCCTCTGCAGCTTCTCTTTCTCCTCGGGAGAGAGATAGTGGCCTTGCTTGTCCAGCAAGGCTTGTGCGGACTGAGTGGCGATGATGGCGGCTTGGTGCTGAGAGACGATCTGCTCGTGTTGGGCCTAGGTAGAAAGAAACTGACGGTGACCTTCACGCGGTGACAGAACGACACTGTGACAGCTCCCTGTCGCTTCAGGACTGACGGGATTCAATGATCCACAAAGGTTACAACTTGCTTCCCACTTCTCTTCAAGCTGCGCAATATCCCCCTTCCCAGGATGAATTTCAGAATAGCAAGAACTCTACTCCTATTTTTAAGGAGGTTTCCAACCTTCACTAGAAAGCATTTAGATAATCACACGGGACAGATCCTGGTTTTGCAAAATTTGGAAAAAGTGTAACAAATTTCTGTTCCAATTCTAACACAAGCCTCTATCGTTGGATCCCTTTTGATTCACTGCTTCCCTACAAGCTATCCCCAAAGGACTGCTAATGTTGGTACCTAATCATCGAGCAAGTAAGTATGATATTTCTTATTAAGAAATGATCCTAGAAAAACATTTATGTAGAAGGAAGAGCCTGTCATTTTAAAGCTACAAAAACATTCCAACAATAATTAGGAACACTGTGCATTCAGAGAGGCTCAATGGAAGTTAAAGGAAGATCTGAAGAGAATCGGAGAGGGAGCTGCTTAGCTTCATGGGGCCTCCGTTTCCTGCCTATGAAAATGGAGGCAGTAACTCCCACCTAACCCAGGTGTGCTGTAACGAGTACATGAGATCACATACTGCGGAGTCTAGCACATCCCAGAGATCAAATCCACCCTGCAGGCCGAAAGGCAGAGCTCCTGGATGGGTGTGTGTACTGTGAGCAGGTCACAGATGTGCAGAGCTACTGGTCCCCACAGCCTTAAGAGGGCCGCAGGTGGCCAAAGTCCCTTTCCTTCCAGCCATACAATGTCTTCCCATTCACCCCAATATGCCACACAAATGTGGCAAAAAGGAAAAGAATCCTTTGGGGGAATTTTCTCTGTTTCTTATAACAGTTTACGTGGAGCCAAATAACAGAGCTCATTGCACCGCCTCTAACCTCTTTGCCACACCCACTCTTCTCCCCACCCTGGAAGAGCCTCAGGACCTTTTTCTCTTATTATTCTTCATCCAGTAACATCCTGCATCAGTCATCTCCTTTAAGCCCTATTTAAACACTGAAAAGTGGCCCCCAACCCCACACTCAACCATCCTCTTCTAACTCCCCAACACTGTTTCCCTTAGCACTCACCACCTTTTAACACCCCATCTAACTTAGTTCTTATCTGTGGGGCCAGGATAGGGAACTTCTTTTGCTCGATGGGGAGTCCCAAGAACCCAGAAAGGTGCTAGCACTCGGGGGCTGAGTACGAGGACTGCGTGCTGTGCAGTGGCATAGGACAACCGCTCACTCACTGCGTCTGCTCCCAATCAGCCAGCTGACGACAGGCCCGTTAACATCGGTGTCCTCACGTCTGTAACGATGCCTGCAGCCTTGTGGGCACAGGATAAACACTTTTGACTAAATGACATTTCTCCCACAGACTATCTTTGGTATTTAAATTATACTCATATGCTGGCCTCCAGAAGAGCTGCGCACACAGCAGCGTGGCTAGAGATATAGAATACCCGGTAAATTATCAAATCCATCCCCTTCCTTTTACAGTTGAGGAATCTAAGGCCTAAGGAGGAGAATGGCTTTGCTGAAGACCTCTGATGGCACAACTACTGAGAGCTAGAAATCACTGGGTCAGGCCCTTTGGCCATTTCCCCACTCTACTGAGAGATGAAAATTTCCTAAAACATATTCGGATTCCTATGTACTTAGAGGTAAAAAGATCAGGAAGGAACGGTCATACCCTGACTAAAAATACTTTCCTATGTGACATCTTTAACTCCACTTACCGGTATTTTTCACTACTGTGGACAAGTTACTCACCTTTCGTGACTTCACTGTAACTGGCTCATAAAGTTCCTTTAGGAATTTATCAGATTTTTTTCATTTTAAGAGATCTGATTTTTCATAATAAGGTCCTGTAACAGTTCCTTGACATGGTGACAGAGTAAACACTCCCGCCCTTCTTCTGGAATAATTTATAGTTTCTGTAAGAACCTCACAGCCTATGCCAGAGATTCCAAAAACTAAGAGTGGGAGGGAAATAAACAGAACTGCCAAAGTTTCTAAAGTTCAGTCGTCCCACTACCAAAGGCCAAATATTGACACAAAATTATCAGGATGACACACTTGAGAAACGGTTCTACAAAAGTTGCCCTTGTTCCAACAGTAGCATTAATGTGAACTTTAATTTCAATCCTGCAGGGACTTTTAGAGAAGGACTTTTATACTTCCTCTAAACAACAGCTGTGTAGCTGAGCTGAGTTCAGGAAGAACTTAAGTGAACACGGATTAATGTTTAGCAGGGTGGCTGAGCACACGGCCTAATTTTAAATCCCAACTTCACCCCTTACTAGATGTTGAACTTAAGGAAGCTCCTTTAATACTGCTATGGTTTCCCATCTGCATAATGAAAAACCAAAACCTAGAACAGTAATTGGGATGACTAAATGTGATAAGACAGAATTCCTTGGGAGAGCACCTGGCCCACTGCAACTGCTAAATGTGTTAACTATTATTATTTTTAAATCAAATTTCTTATAATTTCATTTCACTTACACGGAGGATCCTATATCTAGTGATTTACTTCTCTTTATTCTTTGACATTGTTAGAACTCTTACAATGACTTATAGTATTTGACATAATGATGAACCTAGAAAAAAATGGATTTTACTCTGTGGGGTCACTAAGGTTTAAAAAGATAACTCACAGCCTAGTTTGTTTCCACCGTGACTGCTGGAAATAGAAGTGAACAACAGCATCATGTTTACGACAACACACCTTAATTTTCTGGTACTGCTGGTTCAGATTCTCCTCAGGGGTCCCAACTTGGCCATCGACATCAGTTCCCAACAGGTTACCATTAACTTCATCCTCTTCTCCAATCATCGACTTGCCGTCACTTTCTTGAAAATGGGTGCCGTTCTGCTCCGTGACCTGTTTGAGTCTGGTCTCTGCCCTTTCTGAGTCTTGGCCCACAGCTGACAGCCAGTGTAACAGGTTTTCTATTTTGGTCTTGCTCTCTTCCAGCTGCTTCACAGCTGCGACCTGGGCAGGGAAAGTTCACAGAGGGACTCTGAACAGGGGCTCAGGCAGAGTTTTAAGACACTGCAAAAGTACGGAGATCATTTTAAAATAGAACAAGGATACTAAAAAGTGACACACGTGGAAAATTTACCATGCCGAAATTATACGTTAGAGCAACAGGCAGCTTCTCTGAAGTTTTCTTGTGCTTAAAGATACATTTCAAAATTTTATAATTGATGAGTGATCACATTTGTGAAATGTAAGAAAGTCCTTTTTTAAACTTTAAGAAAAAGTTAAGCAATGCCAACTCCTTAAGCCTTTGGTAATATTTGGTCAATTACATGTGTGCATCTAGAAACCCAGAATTCCAGCCCTGGGTGCTAATCATTGTTTACCACCTGATATCACTTAAGACATCAAGTAGCAGGTGAGCTAATCATTTGGACATAGCAATAATGTGCCACGTATATAAATAGGAACCTTTTCAGTTTCTTCTTTGATTGCTGTCGTCACAACTTTATCCAGCTCCTTTTTCGATTGTTCTGCTTTTAAATTAAGCTGTTCGCACTTTATCTTAGCTTCATTAAGCTTCTGTTCAATCAAAGCCTTGTCTTCACGTGACAGCTTCTCCCCACTCTCTTTTAAGAAGGTCTCTGTGTTTTTCACTATTTCTGCCAATGCCTGTGCACTCTCCTGCACGTCGTTCTGTAACTCCTTGTAATACAAAAGAAAACCGAATGGTTAAATTATATCTATTTTACTCTTCCAGAGTTGTAATTGTAAAAGAGGGAGTGAGTGAAGAGATTGAGAGTTTGGTACACGTGGTCTGAAAAGCATATTCAGTATGCTAATTTGAATTGGTTTATTTCAATTACAATATTTAATATAATTTAAAATCTCAAATAATATAAAAGAAAAGCATGGATATTCATGTTTAACAAAAGAATATAATCTCAAAAACACTGAAGCATTCAGTACACAGTCTGTAAAAATTTCTACACACCAGATTTTTAAGCGTATAAATACAAGAGAATATTTACTGTTTTAATACCTTTATTTTTTGGCTGGGCACAGCAGCTCACTAGCACTCCTAGCTCTGAGAGGCCCATGCGAGTGGATGGCCTGAGCTCAGGAGTTTAAGACCAGCCTGAGCAAGAGTGAGACCCCGTCTCTACTAAAAATAGAAACACTAGCCGGGTGTCATGGCAGGCACCAGCTACTCGGGAGGCTGAGGCAGAAGGATCACTTGAGCCTTCTGTGATATGGGTTGGAATCTGAGGTTGCTGTGAGCCAATTTGAAGCCACAGCACCCTACCTAAGGTGACAGAGTGAGGGTCTGTCTCAAAAAAATAAATATAAAAGTAAAATAGACCTTTCTTTTCAACTATATCTACTGCTCAGGATAAAAACAGTTTCCCCAGGGAAATAAGATACCTTCTTCATCTAAACACCAGGTTCTATAATACGTAGGTGTTTGTTTCTTTGCCCTGGCTGCTGGGAAGCTCAAGATTCATATCCTTCTTTGGTAGTTCTAGCTTTCCTCTGTTGAGATTTCTCTATGCAATTTTCCTCTTCTTCTCCTCCTTTATTATGCATTTTAATTCTCTGTATTATATTATTTTAGTTTTTTTGAGACAGAGCCTGACTATGCTGCCCTTGGCAGAGTGCTGTGCTATCACAGCTCACAGCAACCTCAAACTCTTGGATTCAAGTGATTCTCTTGCCTCAGCCTCCCAGATAGCTGGGACCACAGGCACCTGCCACAATGCCAAGCCATTTTTTGTTGTAGTTGTCTTGGTGAGCTGGCCTGGGCCAGGTTTGAACCTGGCTCCCTTGGTGTATGTGGCTGGCACCATAACCACTGTGCTACAGGTGCCAAGCCCTATTTGAGTTTTAATATTATTTTTCTCCATATGTTATTTTAATCCTTCTCAAATTTTTCTGAGGAGTTTCTGAATCAAAAAGAAGCCTATTTATTGGGCCATTAATATGTGATATTAACTGTGCTAGTGACTTACACAATATTTACTTAACATTTAAACTATGTAGCAATGGAAGAATGACCAATGGGGAAACTGAGACTCACAGAGATTGAGTTATAAAGCTGGCAATGGACAGAGTCTGGCATAGGAACCAAGAGCTATTTAATTACAATGAGAATGTTTTCTCTCCTACATCTAAAATGAACACATCTTTATCTGTCATTTCATTTTTTTTTCATTTTCTTCCAATAGAAAGAAACAAATTACAAAGAAAGAGGGAAGAAATAAGAAGGAATTAAAGAGAAAGAACTCAAACTGATGGCTATTTTTCCTGATCCTCATGTGAGTAGCCTGGCCTTAAGTGAATCCAAATTTTAATTTATTACACAAGGTATTTCCATTGTCAAACCACCTTTCTACCTTTTCTACTCAATTTCTCCTACCAAAATAGTCAAGAAAATATCCTGGCTTGCTTGACGTTAGAAATTTAATTTTTAGTATAAAGTTCAAGCTCAAGCTTGGCGCATCCAGCTATGCCTTGCTTCTGAAAAGGTAAAATTATTGGTATTCTTCAATAACCCTAACTGCCTTCCAAATGACAGTAAGTAAACATCCACACAGAGCTGCCAGTACAAAACCAAACTCTACCTCTTGCTTGGACTGGTACTTCTTCAACTCAACTGTGCCATCCCCAATCACAAAGGCTTCTTGGTGACCAATTAGCCGGTTTTCAGTCTGGGTGAGGAGATCGCATATGCCCTGGAGTTTCTCTCTGTATTCCTGCTGACGCTCTGCCACATCCTAAAGTGAAGATAAACCAAAACATCTTAAATGCGTGGTCGTAAAATCACGATTGCGACAGCTTCTCACTCAAACCCATTTCAAGTTTCCTCTAATAAGCTTTCAGAAGTATGCTGTAAACATGGTAGCAGTGGGGTATGAACAGAGTGTGGGGTGAGACAGAAAGGAGGAGCTTGTTCCATGAACACGGACAGAGATCACGTTTAGATGAAACTGCCCAACAGAATACTGGCCATGCACATGTGCAAGAGATGGAACTTCTGACCAACAGGAAGAAACATCCCATTTTCATAAGCTCTTGAGAACTGCAACACACAGAATTAATTCTGCAAAAAGACATCAAAAGAGAAGTTAGTCGTGATTTGTCAGTTAATGTATTTGATATGTGCATACAGGTTATCATGCTAGAGACAATGCCTTGTGCATCAAGAAATAACAAAAGATACGCTGCATGCAGTCTTTGTACTGATCCCTATGTCCAGCTGCATACCCACCTCTTTGCTCATTATTGCTTTTAGCACTCTTCATATAATCTGTTAAATCTTTAAGATTAACTTAAAATGTCATTACTAATTACCTGCAGCTTTCCTTTTCCTATTATATATACACTAATTACTCATCTGATAGCCAGAGATCATGTTTAGTAAAAGTCAAACACATGCCAGGCAAGGTACAAAATGGTTTTTTGTTTTCGTTTTGTTTTGAGACAAAGTCTCACTCTGTTGCCCAAGCTAACACGCAACCTTGCTGATAGCAGCCTCAAACTCCTGAGCTCAAGTCACCCTCCTGTCTTAGCCTCCTAAGTAGCTGGGACTATAGGTGCCTGCCACAATGCCCAGCTACTTTTTCTATTTTTGGTAGAGACGAGGTCTCACTCTTGCTCACGCTGGTCTCCAACTCCTGACCTTCCGCAATTCTCCTGCCTCAGCCTCCCATAGAGCCGGGATTACAGGTGTGAGCCACTGCATCCAGCCACAAAGTGTCTTTTTAAATATGCACTTTTTTTTTTTTTTTACCAATACTGAAGAAACTACCAGGCTAGCACTATTAGGATTTCTGATTTCCCAAGATAACTGACCTTCTGTGACTTGTCCTAAGTCACATAACAAATGAGTTATGCAGCCGGGAGGTAAAGTCAGGCAACCTGGCTCCACAGCCACGCTCTGAACTGCTTTGCCACCTCACCTCCCAGAGGAAAAGCAAACTCTTAACCTCTTTAGCCACACAAGGCCCCAGTTCAGTCCTTACATTCTGAGCACATCCACATGTCCTACCCTTAGGGGAAAAAATTCAAGACTCTCAGCCAAAATGAATATTTTTGAGAGTCACGAAAATTAAAATCAACCATAGTATAGCATCATTATGGAAGGCAATAATCTTTAAACATATTATTATACCCTGTCCGTTACAGCCTTTCCAGGAAACCTTTCCTATCATGCTATAACCCCTAGGTGCCTGCTTTGCAGTTTCACACTAAAAGTAAAGAATTCCAACTCCACGAAGACAGGCAAACCTTCTGATCATCGAGATCTTGCTCTAGCTGTAACTGAGTCTCTAAACGTTCCACCTTGGTAGTTACTAATTCCTGTACGTCCAGGAAGCACTTCTGAGTCGTATTTAAGAGCCTCAGCAGTTGTTTGTTTTGGCTGGGAGACAGATCTTGTGCATATTCAGAAATGAAGAACTGCACGTCAAAGGCCGTGGCTTCCAGCTGCATTTTGGTGTGTCCGAGTTCTTTTATGACATTCTGTGAACAAAGCAGCACAAGTTACCCATAGAGAGCTAAGCCACAGAAATGTTTATATAAACATAACATATTTTAAATATGCTTCTTATATCAATGATGGAAAGGTTTATTGACTTTTGCGTCATTTGTCAAAGATCTACCTATTGCCTAGCAATAGAGGACAATAATAAATTATTTAAACACCAAGGTAGCTGGTATATTATTAAAAAGGTAAATAATCTAAGAATATTTTATCTTTGCCTGCATACTTAAAATGTAACTCTGACACAAGGCAAATTTCCAGCTTAGGTCCATTTAGCACATTGAAGGGAAACATCTAGACGAAAATATTACTGTCTAGTATTTACAACACCCACAAAGTTGTGGTAACACCCACGTAAGACTACGGGAAATTTGAAATATGAATTTAACAGGCCAGAATTTCAGTTTTCTGACTCCTAGAAAAGCCCAACTGCTGTCCATGAGAGATCCTGTTCAAATTAAGAACTTGAAAAAAAAACCCAGCACGCCAAGGTGAGTAACATATAAATACAGTCATTCACCGGGTAACAATGGAACAATGTTTCATTCAGAAACTGACCATATAGTGTCATGTTGGTCTCCTAAGGTTACAATACCGGACACACGGAGCTACAGCTGCCCAGGGCGTTTAGTACTGTAACAATCATGTCTGTGTCTTCCAGGCTTTCAGAAGCACAGTCTGATGTTCACATAAAGATAAAACTTCCTACTGATTTGCACTTCTTAATGCATCCCCATCCTTAAGAGACACATGACTGTACTACTTATACTGGTATGTATTTCTGGGACTATTTTTATATGACTAATTACTACCGTTTCACATCTATGTAACTATCACATAAATATAGATGAATATGAAAATAAATGAATATCAGTACAAATTTATTGATATAAATATCAATTTATATCAATATTTATTGATTGATAAAAATATCAGTATGAATCTCAACATGTCAGCAGCAGTTAAGAGTTTGATAAGGCATTTGGGATCATAGCAGGATGGCAGCCGTTAAGTTAGGATTATTTCACAGCCGTAAACAAACATCTCTAGAGACAAAGAAAGGAAAGAATCCCTTACAGCCTTAGCAAAGTCGTATTTTCTAAACACTTACTATATGAAATCTGTAGGTATTTTAGGTATACTATGTCATATCTGATACTTGCCTTGAGAAACTCCAAACTTTTCTTTGCACGTTCAGTGTCTTGACCATTCCCGATCTCAATATCCTTCACAGATTTGCTCTTCTCTGATATCCAATCCGAGAATGACTCAAGTTTATGTAGAAATTCTCCATGGGAAATTGCTAGTTTAGACTAGAAAATAAAATGGTGCATGCATTTCTGTCTGTCCCCCACATGTCAAATCTTTGTGCATAGTGGTTCTGGTTTACGGGTTTAATCTTATAAAAACAAAAGGCTTCATCTTATGACTAAAATCTCAAATAATCAAATTTTCTTCAAATATCAGAATTTGACATTTTATTCCTACCATTTCAGAGTCGATTGCAAGCATGATCTGTTTCATTCTTTCTGAAGACACGTTGCTGAGGGAAGAAAAGGAAGTCTGCAAATTCCGGAGGCTGACGCTCAATTCCTCCAGCTGTCCTCTGGGAAAGTCACTGGGAAGGGACTTTAAGAAATCTTCTGCCAACCTCATATCTTTTCTTAAAATAATAGCAATTGGAGCCAATCCCAATTCAAATGTCTGCAAAGAAATTGGTCTATTTAGATTTTCTATTTAATAAAAAACACAAGCATAAACAAGAAACAAAGCTCATGTGCTCTGCTTCTCCGTCCAAATCTAATCAGACTATCATTTATAAATAGGCAGCAGACAGCCCTTACCTCTAAGTGTTTAAGCTGATTCTTCAATGCTTCTAGACTGTTATCCAGAGACTCCTGGTTGTCTAAGGGGGGTTGCATATCCTGAAGCAAAGCCAAATACTCCTGCATTTTTTCAGTGTGCTGTAAACACTGCTGCAACTCACTGGAAAACTAAAAATAAATTTGGACAATTTTACTTCAACAGCCTTTATACAGATTTTTAAAACAAAAAAAAAAAAATACAGCAAGTGTTTCATGCAGGTATTTGAATATGAAAACGTCAACTTACTTGTCCCACTGAGTTGTCTCCAGAAGTCTCTCGTTTTGACTCTGAAATACATTCCAAATGGTTTGGGGAATTATTACATAGATCCCCGAGCTTCTCACTGCTTGGCAATGCTGAGCCATACCCAGCAGAACTTTCTTGGCCAGCTTCTTTCATCGTTTGTAAGTTAAGGGAACAGTAGTTTCCTTCTTTGCTTTTAAGATCACCGAGACCGTGTGGCTTTTTCCCCACGGTCTCAGAAGTAGCACATGCTTTTTGATTCAAGTCTCCAGCCTGCTCTACTTTTTCTGAATATCCATCAGCAAACAGCTTGTAGAAAATATTTTCAAGTTGCAGTGGAAGTACTTTAGATGCAATACCTCTTTTCCCTAGGTTATGCTCCAGTTGAGTTAGTTCTCTCATCAATTCAAATGCCCCTGGAATCTTCTGGCTATGCTGACTTTGCTTCAGCAGAGCAAGGAGAAGCTCAGACTTGAGATGTGCAATAGAATCGTCTCTACACTCCGCTTTTAGTTCCGATGAGATACTAACGGGGGAAACGCCAGTATACTCACTGATCTTAGAGTCACTGGGTGTAGCAGGTGCTTCATTTACCAACTGTGATGTGCTAATCTTTTTAATTAAGTTTTCAATTAAAATTCTACTGTCTGCACAAGCTGAAGTGTCTTCAGCCTCTTGAAGATCCCTATGACTCTCTTTCAACCTGCTCTTTAGGATATCCTTTACGTCCTCAACAAATACCTCAGATAATTCAGAAACCTGAACCTCTTTTCCTGGGGGTCTTGGAGACAAGGTTTGTTCCTTTGGTGGCTGGTGCTCGGTGTTTTCTTTCTCACTGCTTATTTCTAAGTATGAGTAGTCGGGACCTAACACATCACTGGACTTATTTCTACAGAGCTCGGACAGCACAACACCTTTTCCGAGGTCTTCCACCTTTTTTAGAGGTAAGTTTGAAGGTGTGGTTTCATTAGTGTCTAGTGTGAACTGAGAAATTTCTGTTCCTTCTTCTGAGATACTGTCCTTAGTATGACAGTCGTTAGGTGGCACCATCTCATTTAGAGGCAAGTCCTCTTGGATGCAAGTTGACCTCTCTTCTGTATCATTAACTCCTAACTGTAAATGTTCTTTTGTGGGAGGGGCAGCTATTAAGACACAGCTTGGGATATCTTCGTTTGGTTTTGGTAGGTCTTTTGCTGTTGTATTTTTAGCACAATGTTTTAAATATGTAAACAAATCAAGATCTTTTTCAGGTCCATCAGCGAATGCATGTTCCTCAGTACGTGTACTCCCTTCAGATGGTGGGACGTCTGAAGTAATGCCATCACCAAGCACTGTGGAAGCTGATGCATCAAAGATTTCTTCAAGATTCTCAGACAGAACGGGACTTTTACTAATCACTGTCTGTAGATTCTCTGGTTCGCCTGCAAGAGGTGCAGTTGCTTTTTTAAGCCTTCCTTTCTGAGTAAGTTCTTCATCGTTTGTGATTTGTGGAAATGGACTATTAGTTAAATTAAGACTGTCCCTTGTAATTTTACTAGGTAAAAGTTTGAGATACTTATTTTCTTCTGCTAAGCCTCCTGCAAGCACTTCTCTCTCATCCAGGTTTGTCTTCTGAACTGACGTCTCGTCTTCTTTTGGGGCGTCACTTTTGCTGACTCTCCCTCTGACTGGACCTCTTCCCTTTCCTTCAGGATCTCCGTCAGTGAAAAAGGCGAGGGATGAACAACGGCTTCCCTCAGCAGATTTCCCTATTAAATCAGGCTCAGAATAGATGACTTTATCAAAAGATGAGTCAACTGTAGGTTTTACGTTCTCAAGATACTCATCTCCACCTTTCACAAGGTCAGGACATTCTGGTTCTTGAATCAACTTAAACTTTATGTTTGTTAGATGATTACTTAATTCAGAAGTTGAACTGATACTACTACCTGAAATATTTACAGGGCTAAAGTCTTCTTCAGATTCGGCATCTTTAATGACAGGTGGCACTATATGCCTTAGTGTCATCTCATGATTCAACACATCTTCTTTGCTATTATCAAAAATCTCCGTTGTCCAGTCTGGAATGCTGCTTCTTTCTGTAACTAAGCTACTCAAATCACTTGATTCAGGATGTAAAACACTTGCACTTTGCTGTTTTTCTGAAAAACTACAATCATGCATTTCATCTGAGAGAATCATTTTATTAACACTTTGACTTCCATCACTGTTCTCCTTTTCCTTTACAAGGGAAGCACACAACTGGACACCCCCATCTTCAGCCTTGTCTTGGCAGCTGGGCTTTCTCTTCTCACCTCCCATTCCTCCTCCGCCTTCTCCTCCTTCAGCACCAACATTGTCATTACTCTGGTCATCAGAACCACCGTTGTCATCATCCTGATCATTACTGTCACACATATAGTCTCCATAACTTTCTTCACTTTGCACAGAATCTAAATACTCAGCATCAGATGAACTTTCTTGTCCAGTTACACACTCTTCTTGTCTTTCTCTCCAACTGCCAGTGTCATCAAATTTTAACGAAGCACTGAAGCTCTCCTTCGCTCCTGCGATATCATCATCAGTCAATGAGTCAGACTCGCCATCACCTTCACGGGTGTTTGTGCATTCCCCTTCAGTTTCCAGGAACCATTCATTCCCTTTGTCTGAGCTAAATGAATCCTGATGCATTCTTTGACTAGAATCTAATTCAGCTTTCTCGGTACCTGTGGGAAAATCCTGAAGACACTGTGCTTTGCCTGTCACACTTAAGCTACCAATTAGTCCCTCCTGAGGAACCACAGAATTTTCATTCTCTTTTGAAACGTCATACAAAACATCAGCTGGAGGAGTCATCCCATCATTTTCCTCCTGCAGTGTGTCATAGTCCTCAGGCTGCAGACAATCCCGATCGTCACTTTCAAGAAGCAGAGAATCGTGGTCATCATCTTCAAACAAGGGGGTATCGTAAAAGTCATCGTCACTCTCGGTATCTGTTCCCGAGTCGCTCTTCTGACCATCCAGCAGTGACGTTTCATAGTCACCAGCACTGACGGTTTCTTCGAGCAACAGTGCTCCACAAGCAGGAGCTGCACAGGGGCGGTCTTCTAGCCCAGCCTCACTTTGCTCATCTTCAGGTTTCTGCTGAGCAGCAGTGTGTACTTTTTCATCCTCACCAGAAGTACACGACGTGTATTTAACACTGTGATATTGCACTTGTGGAGTCCTACTACCAATATTTAAAGCTTCAGAGTGCTCTCCCTGCAAACTGATGTCAATAGCTGCAATTCCCAGAAACTGGTCTTGAAATCTTTCTCCCACTGTATGACCTGATAACATGGTTTGGTCATTAAATGGCAATGCAGAGGTGTCACGTGTATGTCCTCCACTTTCTGGGGTATGTGCCTCATTAAAACCTCCTGGACTGTGCCTCCATTTATCATGACTTAACAAGGCACTTAGCCTCGGGGAATAGTCAAAGATGGGGGAATCCTCGCTTGTATTTTCTTCATTCTCTGTTTTGTTCAGATCACAGAATCTACCCGTTTTTGATTTCACAGTAGGATTTGTTATCAAATCACTTGCAAAGTTTTTAATGTATTTAGAATGACTATCATTTGCATGTTCGCTTGTTTCAACTTGACTTTGATTTTTACAGTGTTCAAGTATGTTTTCAGAGTCAAGTTCAAGCACTCTAACTTCTGCAAGTTCAGTCTGTGTTAAATAAGACATGGGACTGGGACTGGGACTGTTAAATTTATGATCAGTTGCTACTATATTTGCTGGGCTCTCTGATTGACAAAATTCACTACTCATGATATGATTTCTCACCTCATGAAATTCTTCATTTGTGGCATAATTTTTATTTTCAGGGATCTCTTTACATTCGGGTTCTCTGCCATGACATTTATCAAAACTACTTGGTGAAACGGTACATTCATCCTTTTTGTTACGTGGAGCATTATTAAGAAACGTGCCAGGGAATTCCATACTACAGCCTTCCAGCAGCATACCGACAGCCTCATCCAAGTCTCCATCGTACAGCAAAAGCCTCTGCCCTGTGTTGGCATCCATATAGCTATTTATCATCAAGTAAGATAGGAATAATTTCTTAGTTTGTTCTGAGCTCTCCGTTGCCACTGCCTCTTCTCCATCAAAAACATCCTCTTCTTGTCTATAATCATGAACTGTAGATGGCTGGAATTTACAAAAAGAGAGCCATCTCCGGGCATTTTTACAAGTTTCTACATCTCCTAAATCTGGCATTTTATCAGGCAGTATTATATTTTTTAAAATCAATGCTGTGTTATTATCTATAATTCCCAGCTGTTTAGCAACATCCAAACCAATGACTTGAGAACTTTCAGGGATATAAAGAGCAGCTATCTTCTGCCTGCCATTCAGGATTTTGTAGGCCAATTCATTTGTAATCAACTCTTGCTGCAAGGATGAAGATGTGGGAAATATCTGACCAGAGTGGGGCCAGATGAGTCCAACATAGCCTCGCTGAGCCTCCAGTACCAGCAGGGCACTACTGGACGTGATTAAATCACACTGGACTGCTTCATCTACCGTTAAGCGCTTGGCGGGGTTTGAGTGGATGATTCCACCAGTTTGAACCTGGTACGTGAGAACACTGCTGGCAGTGTCTCTGTCAATCACCCCTTCTGCCACAGCTTCCTCAACGGTCATTCTCTGACCAGAGTTGCCATTGACCAGACCTCCAGAAAGAAGTTGTGCACCTAATAACCTAAACATGGTTTCACGATCTATGAGACCTTCGTGAGCTGCTCTTAAAATGCTTATGCTTCTTCCACATTTTAATGTTATTCGACCTCCTTCTTGTGGTCTCACAGGTAGGAGCCACATTCTGGAGTTTTCCTGTAAAACACTTCTTTGTACCATATCTGTTAGAGACACCTTCTCAGAGGTGCAGGGGTCAATGAGATCTTTGCACATATTTTGTCTTTCCAGTACTTTAGAAAATAATGCTGAGGAAATCAAGTTCTTTTGGAAAGCCTTTTGTAGGCTCAACTGTTCTCCTGTAGCTGGAATGACGAGAAAGCCTGTGGAGAGCAGTATCTCCAGAACTTTGATGGCCATGCGTTCTGATATCATGCTTTGAGCCAAGGCATCCAGGACTGGAATTGTAGAGGATGACACAGCAGAAATAATCTCCTTAGCTTCATTTAGTTCTTTGAGTTGGCACAGAATTTGCTCATCAATAAGTCCATGACTTTCGGCATCTTTGAGGTCAAAGCACTTTTTTAATTCTGGTGAAATTAGACCAGAAATCATGAGCTGTGTCTCAAGCAACCTAATCCCTGTGTCATAGTCAATGAGGCCTCTTAAAACTGCCTGAAAGATGGAAAGGACTTCTCCAGTTTTCTGATCAATGGTGCCTGCAATCACTTTATCCAGCTGAAAGGAAAATACAAAAATTTCAGGTCAGTCTGTCAGACAAGGGTGGGCAGAGTTTCATGCAACTTAGTTTGTTTTTTGTTTGTTTGTTTTGTTTTTTAATAAATAATACGCTTCAACATAAAAATCCTCTACTTACCAAGGTGCAGCAATGCTGTGAATGTTAGGCAGCTCAAATGCACAAGTGATCTATGTCAGTGATCTATTCAACAGCACAGGATGTGATAAAAGCTTTGAAAACAACATGCATCTGTGAATTGAAAACTTAACATCGTGTATATTAACAAGGTTAGTGAAGACACACAGAGTAGATGATGATAGTGAGGAAACACAACACATACCTAGAAGGCAAATCATGCTTTCTGCATTTGGGTGAGATTAGAGTCTAGTGGCATGAAAGAGAGAATCAAACCCCATGCTACTAATGTTTACAGCATAAGACTTCTTCAAAGACAGTCAAAAACTAAGAAACCAGAAAAACTGCTACATACCCCCAAACCATGACAAATTGTGTGGAAAGTAGTCCCAGGAGTAACAAAATTAAATATAAAGATAACTTTTTGAATGTTGAAAATTATATTGGGTGGGCTGATAAATGTACAGTCAAGTTTAGAAAGTTTAAGTGCCAAACTTCAAGAAGATGGTAAGGCATCCTCACTATAGTATGTGGCCTTGTGTTACTCAAGTAAGTCTCTGGCATATCTCTGAAAATCAAACAAACTCTTTAACACACCAATGCCACCTTTAGGGATGGACTCACAGGTCTTTTAAAACATCATATTTATACCATGTACTATACTACAAGAATGGCTTTTAAAGAGAAGAGTTAGAAAAATGAATGATTCCCTTCTTTTAACATGCAAGGCAGAGATTAAGATGTCACAGAAACTGATGATCAGCAAGTGTAAAACTGCATTTAATAAATACCAAAATCTCCAAACATTTAAATAAACTCCATCCATGTTTTATCCACGTACAAAACTCAGTCATTTCTTTATTATTGACATATACTTCCACATCCATGCAATAAAACGAAGCTTCTTAAAACAGCTTTACGTTCAAATCAGCATTACCTTTTCCTCTACCTTTGTATCTCCTGAGGTTTGTGATTCTTGGAGTTGTTTCAGAGATTCACTGAATAATAAATTATAACCTTCTTGAAGAGTTTTCACTTGTTTTTCCAGTTCATTTCTCTCCTCATCTGTCATTCTAGAATAACCAAGTATTAAATGGGGTAGTGCAAGTCTTCAAGCGATAAAGATGATACATTAGGTTCACTAACTTTGTCACTTGCTTATAAAATAAAATACGGCCTCACATACGTATTTCTCAAGTCTTGGCATGACTGTATAGCAATCTTTCCCTTGCCTGAGAACAGAACTGAAGGAAAGCTGTAAACTCAAAGTATTTGGGCACTTCTCTACCATCCATATTTCCAGACTAACAACCATTATTATCTGACAGAAGGAAACACGCCAGTGTTAAACCCCAAATGGAGCAGGAGCAGTAAGGCACCATTTCTCAAGACAAATTTAGTTTTAACTTAAGGAAATTAACCTGATTATCTCATACAAAGTCATTCTGGAATTATCCTGAAGAGGTCATCTAAAAAGAGCTTAAGAAAAGAACAAATTCCTTCCCTGACTGAGGTACTGATTGAAAGACATGAAGTGCCTTATTGCAAAAAGTAGGACCAAACGCTGAGAAATCAGGGTACCGTAAGTCTCACCTAAGAAAATGAAGAAGATATTTACACTGATTTTCCAAAAGGAAGTCGTTATTCTACCTTTCACTTATCCTACTTTTCACATAGTCTGCCTTTCATTAGCTACTAATCCTTAACCTCTTTGAACCTGTTTCCTTATCAAAAACGTATAAGGAAAATTGGTATCCTTCAAAGTTGTGGTGAAGGGTAAAAGTGACAGTTAATTAAGTTGCTAAGTTTATATCCGTTATGTTACCACATTAAGGAGATTGTGATTACTTTGAGTTTCATTTTATAAATCTCGATTCATTAAAACTTTCCATCTCCTTTTGAAGAACACTTCCCTACTCTGCATCAAAGAGATCATGACAACCAACATACTTGTCTCCGTGTTTAGCCAAAAAAATCTGCATGGTTTGAAGTGCTTCGGATAACTGTTCCTTCTTGGTTGATATTTCCTCACTGGAGATCTGTAAAGTAAAGAAGTTGCATTCAAATCCTTCCCTCGGAAGAGCTAAACAACGCTAGCTTTTAAAAAATGAAATAAGTTTTAATCAAGACCCAAATAACGGATGGGTGACCCAAGTCAATAACCTGTCAGTTATTAGCAGTCTCTGGGCCCAGATAAGAGAGTACTTGATTTAGGAGGAAGGATTCAGGAAAGCTCCTCTCTAGACCCTTTATGCCATCCTTTTTATTAGGAGATAATCATACAACATGATGTGGTTCACACATTTGCCCCAACCCAAGCATGGATAAAGGTGTCCTTAACGCCCACGTGGCCCAATGTTCAGCACTGGCCCACATCATCTTTACACATCACAGTATTCAAAAAGATACATGAATGTGGAACACTTCTTCCAAAGAGCACCTTTCTCTCCCTCGGTTCCCAAGGACAACACTCCTTTTGAAAAAATTATGATGAAAGTATTAATCTACAGGTACCCAAATCAAGAATAAATAACCTCTAATGCAAAGACCCTCCTTAGAAGGTTAGAGAAATGAAACTGATCTGTTTGGGGGAAAGCAAGAGGTCATAACCCTTTCTCCTAATGCTTCAGTGTTTCACTTCTGAATCTCTCATTTCGGAGATTAGCTGCCATTCTTTTAAATAAGCAGAAATGAGAGGCAATGTTCCAATGAAAAGATGTTATTTTTTTCTTCTGTGTATTCTACTTAGAGCCAACTTAAAATCGACTTTTCACAGTTATAGGTAACCATGAAGCCATAATGATTTTTGAAGAACACATTCATATCAAATTACCTTAAATTTCTTTTAACAAGAGGCCAAATACGCTTAGAAAGTCATAATTAAGGCCATTATCTGCATAAAAATAGTATCTCTCTACTTTGATGTGTATTAGGTCTAAATCTGACTGAGTAATCTATAGGATTTTAAACTATTGGAATGTGAAAATACAAAGGCTTATAATCCACATATCACAAAAGAAATCTGTTCTCCCAAGAAATCTTTAGAAAGGTTTATGTTCTTATTTTATTTGTCTTCCTATTTGATGAGAAAACAAAAGGGAAGACTGTATTTTCAATGAAATATGTGCATTAAATTTATGAAGGTTTTTGAATTAAAACACTGAACAATTTCTCATTTCTTTTGCACTGTAAGATATGCGGTATATAAGCATATGAGCTAATACAAATTTATTTCAAATGAGTCATATTTCAAGTGTATACTCAGGTCTGTATATTTCTCTAAGGAAGAACCCAAGATAGGTATGTTTGGCTCATATCACGGATAAAACTAGTCAAGACGTTGCCATTTTCCCCTAATCCGTCATGTTGACAAAATCTGTTTTAACTGATGACAAGTATGTACTGATGGAGAGGTAAGAGGGGCTGACAAATATTGAAATGTGGTGATAGGCCATGAAATTTCCAAATGTCAGGCAAGGGCAGGAAAATAATAATAAAGGAAAAAGATTCCTTGAGGAAAATGCTTATCTTAGCAGAAATTTGTCTCTAAAAATACAGCAGCAATCCCAGTGCTATCACCAGCAGCAGAAGCACTGAAGTCCCAAGAGCGGCCAGTGGTGCAGTCCAATGGAACACCAACATCTCACAAGCTGCAGCCTAATGTTAAATAGCTGGGACATGACAATGGCCCGCGGGACTGAAGAGTTCACTTGGGTAGGAGAAAGAAACCGGAATTTCTGGTGAATGACTGTAAATCCCTCCTCATGAAATAGAAAAGATGCACAAAAGCATCTGAAGTCAATACTCAAGAGTGTTAACAACCTAGTGTGTCATTTCATTGATCTTGAAACTTTTTATGTTTACATATTTATAATATGGAATGCACGGATAATCAAACAGGATGATTCTGCTCTTCAGCAATGTTCATGATAATGATCAGGAGGGAGATGTAATGCCGTATTAGCTTAGTAATAGTAAGGCCAATATAGAGAATTCAGGCTGGAAATCAGAGATACCTTCTTCTGCCACATACTGGCCTTAATTTCTTGGGCAAGTTACTTAGTCTCTCTGCCCTCCATTATAATTGCTTACAAAAATGGGAAAAATTACGGCAAAGGATTAAATGTTATGGTAGCTGGACTATACCAACTTAGTAAAGTCTACCCGCTGTCATTAAACCAGGACCTCTGTGAATACCTTTTGCTTAGAGAAGGTAGATTTTCCAGCCTTCTCTCCATCTTTCAATGTCTTGCTGATATTTGAGACCCATTTCTGTAATTCTTTGGCTTTATCAACATGTTCTTTCTTTTCTTCTTCCAGTGACCTCTGACAAGTGTGGTGGTTAAAAAAAAAAAAAAAGACATTCCAATAAATGACTGAGCTATTAAATGGACCTCTCCGTATAAAACAAAAAGGTAAAAATGCTTTTTTCATCACACACAGGCTACTGAAATATTTTATTTGCTTAACCATGTTTAACATGTTACATAGCAGATGTATCCCCAAAACGTTTATAGTAGCAAAGAGAGCTGTGACAAACATTCCTCAGTGATTGGTCCAGCCTCCCAGCTGTTCCATCAATAGGACAAATTCAAACGTTCAACTTTATTCATGAAGCAACAGAAGATCTTTGAATCGCTGCCTTTGCATTAGCGTTATAATCATGAGCCCCTTGGCAGAAAGATAATCAGAAAACGGAAAGATGAAAGAATAGAGAATGTCTACGAACATAAGAAAAATACACAGAAGGAAGACAATTCTTCTCCTCCTCAAACACACAATGCACTCACAATGCTAGCTTTTAATTCCAAACTCTTAACTAGAAATGAGAAATGGTGGTAAACTTTCTAATATGTAAAGAAGGTCATTATAAGCATATACGGGAAAACTCAAAGCTTTTTCGGTTTTTGGAGCAATCTAAAACACCGCAGCCTCATGGAGATGGGAATGAGTTTTTGCATCCGTGGCTGCTTGGTGGGCTGTTTCAGGGAGTGCAAGGTATCACTGACTAAATGGGAACCCTAATACCAAGCTGGATCTATTTGGTGAAAAGGAAGTCTAAAGAAATGACGCTGTGAACTTGCTGCATTTCATCAAGCTTATGCCATATTCTAGGTAAAACATGTTTATTTCAGCATGGACAAGATGCAAAAAACTATTCTCAAAGCTAAATGAAACTTTTTTTTTTTTTTTTTTTGCAGTTTTTGGCCAGGGCTGGGTTTGAACCCACCATCGCAGGCATATGGGGCCAGCGCCCTACTCCTTTGAGCCACAGGTGCTGCCCCTGAAACCATTTTAAGGGTGGCAAATCTTCCGTTATTTTCAATTTAAAACTTACTCTCTTTTCTGAGCAATAAGTTATTTCTAGCTCTCAAGAAATAAAGGGAGTATATGTCACACAATCAGCTGACGTCACATGTTCTGGACAGACAGCATGAACCAGCCGGCATCATCCCCTGTACAAAGTTAGTTAAATACGTTCTATTAGGAAGAATAGTAGAGGCTAGAAATTCCTGTTATCAAGGGTTCTGAGACTTCTAACAGCTTGAGTCCAGTGTGGAAATCAAAATCAGCTTTTTCTAAAGCTTCTTTATATGTCAACTTTCTTTTTGTCTGGGGACATATTATATTTCTGATGTATGACTTTTGATCCTTGAGTTGTGTAGCAATGAGGACATCTATAATACCTACTTGGAGAGCCTCTTCTATCGACAACTGAGAGTGAGCCTGTGGCTCTATCAACCCCCCGGTCAAGTATTGAAATTCCAGACATCGGAGTCCCATTTCCTTACTTATGATATTTGCATTCACAGCTTCCATCACTGACATCATTTTCTTAGTGACGGGATGGCCAATCCCCGTGATTACTAATTCACACTGTCGCAATTGCTGGGCAAAGCCCTCATCAACTAGGCCTCTATGTAAAGCTTCAGCTACTCGGTACTTTTTGCCAGTAAGAGGATCGATGATCCCCCCTGTACTGACTTGGGCTTCAAGGCATCTGAGCGCAGTAATCCGGTCAACCAAATTTCTACGGGATGCCTTCAGCACAGAGATCCTTTCCCCCGTAGCAGTCAGCCAGTACCCTGCAATAGGACTACGCAAATCCTTCTTGGGAACTAACCGACTGAGCAAAGAATCAGCGAGTTCTGTAAGTGTGATGAGGCCTTCCTGATGCTTTTTGACCATGGCTTTGTCAAGCGTTCCCTGCTCTAAAGCCTCATCAATATTGAATTGTAAGCCTGTTTTGGTATCGGTCAGCATATGAGAAGGATGCCCATAGGATTCAAAAAATGTGGCTTCCTTCCACTGATATTGCTGCCCTGAAAGTTCAAGATATACACTTTTTTCAATTAGGTTTCTCTGAAAAGCCTCATATGCAGTCAGTTCTGCTCCTGTTTTAGTATCTACTACAGAAATTTTATGAGTTTTCTCTACATTGAAGCTGGAGATGTCCCTCTCCCCAAATGGAAACAGAAGGCACTGGCCATCTATATCAAATACACACATTCGCAGTAATTCTGAGTAGTACAGAGCTTGCTTGTTATTGGGATTAGGAAAGACTCTTGCGTTGCTGGATGGCTCGTGTAAGAACTGTAAGATGGCATTATTCAAGAGCCCCTGCTGCAGAGCGATTTCTGGAGGAACACGAATGCCCCTCAGAGGGTCAATGACACCCCCACTGGCAATCTGGGCCTCTAAGATATGTTTGCCTTTTTGTCTGTCAAGCATTCTATTTTCCATAGCTTGAAACACTGACAATGTCTTGGAAGAACATGAATATCCCATGGCTGCCTTCTCTGCCTCAAGAAGCCTAAGTCTGAATTCAGGGTCAATCACTCCTTTCAGAATTGCATCTTCCACAGAGTACGTCTGACCTGAAACGGGATCGATTATAAACCCTGTTGCGGCCTGAGCCTCCAGAAACGCCAAAGCCATCATCTTGTCTATTATGATTCTCTTGGCTGCTGTGGAAAATGAAATCTTTTCTTTTGTAGATTCTAGGTAAAGCCCTGCAATGGAGGTGGCTTTTGTCAAAAACTTGCTGAGCGTTTTCTGAACTTCTCCAACAGTCTTAAGACCAAGTCGCAGCTGCTCAATTGTTCTCATGTCCAGAAGCTTAGCTTCAACCAGCTGCCTGGCAGTGACACTGTGCCTGAGCCCCTGGAATTGAAATTCATCATCCCTGACTGAACAGGCATAATCGCCGTCCGAGTTCTGGACTGGCTCTGGCTCTAAGCCTTTCTTAAGGAAATCTCCTCTCTTGAGTCCACCAGATGCTCTGCACCCTTCAAGCATCCATTCTTCAGCACTGGGAACTGGGTTCTTTCCTTGTTTTAAGGTTGTGACTTCTGCATGTATATCACACTGCTTGTTCTTAGCTATCTGTAACAGGAATTTATAAGATGTTAAAAGTCACCTAAAGAACATTGTCACTTTACCCTTCTCAGTCCAAAACTAATTTCTTGAATTAAAAAAATGAGATAAGAGAGAAAAATCTCAAACCAAGGCAGGATCATGAATAATAAGGTGAGAGTCTGAAGTATACTGTATACAACAATTGAAAGTATTAAAATGGTATGTTTAAATAAGAGTAAGCTGGGTACAGTGGCTCCTGCCTATGATCCTAATATTAGGGGAGGCCGAGGTAAGAGGATCACTTGAGCTCAGGAGATCAAGACCAAGACCTCATCTCTACTAAAATAGAAAAATTAGCTGGGTGCAGTGTTGCCCACCTGTACTCTCAGGTACTCAGGAGGCTGAGGCAGGAGGATCACTTGAGCCCAGGAGTTTCAGGTTGCTGTGAACTATGCTGATGCTACTGTACTCTACCCAGGGCAACAGAGGGAAGGAAGGGAGGGAGGGAGGGAGGGAGGGAGGAGAAAAAAAATTGAACCAGCTGTGGTGGCTCACATTTGTAATCCCCTGTAATCCTAGCACTCTGGGAGGCAGCCTTGGGTGGATTGCTTGAGCTCAGGAGTTCAAGACCACCCTGAACAAGAGCAAGACCCCATCTCTAAAAACAGCCAGGCATTGTGGTGGGCACCTGTTGTCCCAGTTATTCAGGAGGTTGAGGCAAGAAGATCACTTAAACCCAAGAATTTGAGGTTGCTGTGAACTGTATGACACCACGGCACTCTACTGAGATAAGACAAGATAAGACTCTGTCTCAAAAAAGAAAAAAGATTGAGATGAAATTTAGCCATTGAATATGTTAAAAGTATTCAGTTCTTCTACCATTTTTATAGTCGTGTTTTCAAAACGTAGTTCCTCCGATATAACAGTATTCCCACTATATGTATGTTTACTCTCCAACATTCAAAAATTAAAGAATGGTAATTTATAACAAAGACTCTGGTAAAGCACTAGAAGAATCACCACATGATTTTCCTGTCAGAACTACCAAGAGCCAATCCCATTAAGAATTGTTAAAAACTTAGTCGAGGAGAGAAAGGAAGTAAGACAGGAGGCTTGCCGTGAGGAGCTGACATGGTCTCAGAACACGGAGTGTACCTCTAAGGGCGCCAAGAGCTTCACCAGCTCCATTTCACACTTGCTGTCTTGGTACTTAGCAGGTGGTCTGGAACTGTGCAGGGTCTGATCTCTTATCTTCTCAATTTCTGACAGTCTGGTGATAGGGTTTGCCTCGTCAAAAGTGATCTGTAACTCAGTGCTCGTCTGAGAAAAGTACTCCGAGTAACACTGCTGGCTTTTCTCTTTCTCCAGGGGCGCCCCTGCCGGCCAGAACTGGACTTCTTTTGGTCTTTGTTCAACAACCCGACGCTGACACTTTTCTTCCAACTGCTGGGGTTCTTGAGCCCATCTCAACAGAGGAGACCTGGCCGTCTGGTGAAGGCGTCCGGGATTCCTGGAAGAGAGGTCTCCAGGTTGCTGACACTCCTTCGCCGTGGTCTGGAAATCCGGTTTGACGGTGCCGTCTTTGGCCGTGTTCTTTCTTTGGATTTCACACTGGAGCAGAACCAGCTGATGCTCATGTTCCTTTATCTGTTGGTCCATCTTGTGCTTCAGCTGCTCGACCTCCCGTTTCTGAGCCATCAGCTCCTCCTCCAGCTGCCGGCACTTCTGGTAATGGTTGGCCTCCACGTGGCGCCCTCGTCGCATTTGCTCACGGTACTGCTGAAGCTGGTTTTCAAGCTCTTTGATATTTGTTTCACACAGCTTAGCGTTCTCCTGAGCTCTGACGTTTTCTTGCTGAAGAGACACAAAGTCAAGCTTAATGCCGGAGATATCGTTCTCCGTGATGACTTTGGACTCCATTAATTTTTCCATCTTTTTCCGAAACTCCTCGGCTGAATGTTTGAATT